GCTGGATGATGTGGTGGGGTGTTCTGCATGCGCGTCATGCTGGTGCATGTGAGTGGAAGCGCAGGCTCTGGTGACGTCGGCGTCGCAACCCTTTGTTGCGCTGTCGAGATGAGCTGGTTGTCGCCATGTGGGGCCTGTATCGTTGCGTTCGGTGTGGTCAGCAGGTAAGGCAGTGGAGGAGGCTTCTTGGCTGGTATCTTGTCGGTAGAGGCTGGTGTAGTCGGTGTGTCGTTGGCGACTGTGTGTGGCGATGGATTCGGCGTGTCGTGCGTCTGCCGTTGTGGCGGCAGCGCAGGTGCCCGTTTCTGAGACATTCTGATTTGTGTGCTCGGTGGAGGTAACGCGGGTGGCGGCGGTTGTGCCTGCTGGACGGCGTCGGCGCGGTCATCCTCTCGGCTGGAGCTGTCGCTGTCGGTCTGAGGTGCTGTAGTGTTGTGGTTGGTCGAGGTCGGGCTGCAATTGCGAAGCGGCAGTGGGGCTGTGTCTCGCGTGCTGGCTGCCAAGTCGCGCTGCGCGGGGTCGTCTTCGTCGCGGCAGGCGTCGGGCCAGCGGGCGGCTTCTTGTATGGCAGCAGTCTTGTTGGAGTTGAGAGGCGATTGGCCTCCTGTAAGTAGTTCATGCAAATGCTGGTTGGCCGATGCGCCTTGGAGTCGTAGGGCTGCGTTGTCGCGGTAGTGTGCTGCGAATGCCTGTAGGTCGTTGCCGTGGCGTGCGAGCGCGGGGTGGCTGGGCGGACTGGGCACTGGTAGATGGATGCCCACGCGCATGGCATCTTTGAGCTTGGACGTTTTGGACGGGGTCGTAGGAGGCAGGAGTGGAGGTTGACAGTGGTGTAGCTCTTGAGTCTGGTCGGAGCGGTGGGTGCAGTAGATATTGATGCCAGTCCTGGTGCACGAACATCTCGTTGCTGCACTTGTTGGGGCACCTGTGCGATCCAGGTAAGAGTGGGCCGTCGTACGTCTTGGATTGATTGAGGTAGTAGACTGCGAAATGTCATCTGTCGTCTTCGCAGCCGCCGGTGTCCGCATCTTTGGCGTAGTAGCAATGCGCTGTACTCACGCTCGGACAGCGTGTCGTGGCATTGGTTAGGTTTGGGTGAAGAGAGGTAGAACTCGCGTGTGTCTGATGGTCCGTTCATCTTGGCCCATGGGTCGTTTTCGTTAATGCTTTCGTCGGAGTCTGTGGTGTCGTTGATGAATGCAGGTATGTCTCTCCATGGGTTGGTACTGCTCCGTCGTTGGCTGTTGTTTCTGTCGGTGGCGTGGGTGTCTTTGCAGGTGGCGGCGGCGTGAATTCGCGGCTGGTGTCGGTCCTTCTCGTGTCCCGTTTGTCCTTTATTCTTGATGGTAGGGTTGGGAACGAGTTGCTCTGGTGGTAACATTTTCGCGTTTACATTGCATGTGTGTCGCTCCTTGTCCAAGTGGTCGTAGTCTCTTTTTCCGATGTCGCACATCTCGGCGAGCTGCTGTTGTTCAACGCCGTAGCGCTTGTCGTCCGGGGGGAGGTCGGTTGGGCATTTGAAGCCGGAATTTGTAGAGATGACCTTGGGCCGGTTGAAGATGAATTGTAGCCCATGCGGGCGCGGTGAGAGAATGGGAGGCTGCGGTTGAATGTATGTTGGGCTGCTGTCGGAGCGCGTGGCGCGGCTGCCGGGGTGCAGGGCCGCGGTGGGCGTAGGTGCGAGGTGGTAGAGTGTTCTTGGCCATCTTGCGCTTTCCATTGTAGGCGCTTGGGGCTCGTAGTGTGAGGTGGGGTTGGTCCTGGAAATTGGTCTTGTTAGACGCGTGCTGAAGCCGACCATTGGTTGAGTAGGTCGCACTCGTATTGTGATGGCTTTTCAAGCTCGATGTAGTATGGTTCTCGGTGGCTGACTGGTGGTGCGAAGCGCCTTCTGCGCTGGTTGGTTACACATGCAACCCATGGTGAGTGAAGAGCTGATGCGCCTGAGGTATGTAATGAGCCTGCGAAGCAATTGGTAAGCGGGGAGAGCTCCGATCCCATGGTGGCATCGTGCTTGAAGTCGGTCATGGTGCTGAAGAACATGTGCTTTTCGTAGTCGGGGTCCTCGTAGTTGATCATGGTGCGGATGGCATAATCTTCTCCCATCTGGACTTCGTACCTTTGCGCGCTTTGTTGGTAATAGGTGTTGTACACGGTCTCTTCGTGGAATCTCCAAGCCGTCCTCGTAGTAGCAAGTGTATCTGAGCCGTGCTCTGTTGTGGTCGATGTCGTCGTTGAGTGCTGGCTACGTCATACAAACGACTGGAACCCTTTTCTTGGATGTCGTGGTGGGTCCTCTTCGTCATTGGCTGGTTTGTTGTCTGGTCGGTAGCCGGCTTCCCTGAAGACTGGGGTGCGCGCGGGCTTCCCGAAGACTGAAGACTGTTTCTCGACATCCGTGTGGGAGCCGTAATTTTCCCAACCGTCGAGAGCAGTATGCAACCTTTCTAGATGTAGGGAAAAAATACTCTCTGTTGATGTCAGGTATGTAGGCTACTGTGGTGCGCGTCTCCCTCCTGGCCTGTGGGCACTGGCAGGTACTCTTTGCCCAGGTGCAGAGATATGTGAACGCAGTACTTTTCAATGCTGCCCTCGGTGACCGTATCCTGCTGGTCAGCTTCGACCTGTGCACGTAGAGTTTGTGCATTGTCGGGGTCCCAGCACGTCGGCGTGGCTGTAGGAGGTAGGTCCTGTCATTGTGACTCGCTGCGCGTCTGAAATAGTGGTGGTCGGATGCCGGTGCCTCCGTCGACGTATTGCTCCGTGCTGTGTCCGTACTACGGTTCGAAAAGGATCTTGCGTCTCCTTCGCAACCACGTCGTCCGACTTCAGCGAGTATATTATATGTAGGGCGACCGCAAGGAGGTAAGCGATTCTCGTGGCTGTAGCCCGTCGGGTTGGCGTATACCGCAAATGAGTCCATGCTTGCGGGGCTGTATGGAGCCGTTGGTAGCATGGTGCCGAGTAGGCAGGTGAAAGCAAACATGTCGGCGAATGAAATTTGAGCCTGGCGGTTGCAGGCACAAGGCCTAATAAGTATGCAAAAGCAAGTCGGTATTTGAAGTTGTGTCAATTGTAACCCTGTATGAATGTGGCTATTCGCGTGATGTCATCCTCCTCCTCCTCCTTTTCCTCCTCTTCCCGCTCCTCCTCCTATTACTCCTCCTACTCCTCCGATTCTTATCCTGGTGGGCCCAGTTGATGTCACCCGCCCTCCACTTCCTACTATGCTGCTCCGCTGCTGTGTCAACCACATCACCTCGAAACCCCACTCCAAAGAAATACGCTCCGCCCCTTATGGTGTGACCTCCCCCCGCTCCCTTTCCACAATTCCCCCCCACTACCATATGTAGGACGGCGGAGAAGGGAGGATGGGGAGGTCCTCCTCTTCCTCCTCCTCCTCCTCTTCCTCGCCCAACTCCTCCTCCTTCTCCTCCTCCCCTCCCCACTTTTCTCGAGAGGGGGCAGATACACTGGCCGCCCCCCTGGCAGGCGCAGCGTCTTTCCGTCACCCGCCTCGCGCTCCGCACAGCGGGACGCGGGGGGGGGGGTGCCATGGCGAACGACCCGATGTGGAGCAAAGGGCGGAAAAGGGGAAAAACGAGAAGCCGGATGCGGAGGCTCCCATCCCAATCCCCCTTCCTGCCCCCCTCTCGTCGCCCCGTCCTTCCCTGTCCCCCCCCTTTCTGCTTCCCTCGCACCCCACCCGAATCAATGCGGGAACCCGGGGGGAAAAGTCGTGCAACGCAGGACTGGCCCCCCAGAGGAGGGCGAGCTGAGAGGGACTTGCGCAAATCTACCGGGCATGGGAGAGAAGAGTGGGAGTTTACCCGGCTCGCCGCCTCACCCCCAGCTCTGACCGCCTGCGATTTCGGCGGGGTGGGGGGCTGCGGTACAGGGTCCGACGGCGACGGTCGGGGGGGAGCAGAGGTGGAGGAAAACGCCCTCTGTCACCTCGGAGCACTCCGCGGGGCACCCCTCTCCTTCCTCCTGGGGCAGGCTGAGGAGCCTAAATGCACGCTGCCTCCCCAACGGGCCACCCCGTTCCCCCATCCGTCCCACCTCGCAACCACCGTGAACCCCTTTCCAACCACACTCTACGTATGCAGCGGAGACAGGACGGAGGGGGGAGGAGAGGGAGTAGGGGGTTGACTGGTCGGACATTGCGCGTCAAAGGTTGCACTACACAAACTGCACCACGCAATTTACACCACACATGTGTACATCTGTGCATACATGCGTGTGCAGTGTGCGTTTCTTCACCGCGGACGACCGATGTTCCGCCTGACTCTGCTCGGTGCGCCACCGAAGCGCGAGCAAAAACGCACCTATCAGAAGACACCGCGCCGAAAAAACAGAGGCGGACTGTAGATTTCTGCGCCCACAAGCCCGCGGAGGGAAAAAGCCAAGGAGGAGGAGAAGGAGGAAGAGGAGGAGAAGAGGGACCAGCGCGGCACACAGATTAGAAGACGAGAGCGGAGCACAGCAGGTTCACGGCCAGAGGCCCCTCCTGCACGCATGTCCACCGCAACGGCGCGGTAGTCCCAGTTGCACCGCTTTCGCGTGGAACCATGTAGGGGAGATGAACATCGTGGCGGCGGCGAAAAGCCCAGAGATCGGCTGGCACGTCCAAGTGGTACCAGGCGGTGCCTGGAGAGCCTCGCCGCCTCATCTGGCAGCAGACCTGCCGCTAGTGAAGCACTGCAGCGGCAGTCTGGCAACCGGCCGTCATCGAAAGTTTCGAGGAAGACCAAGAAAAATCGAGCATGGAGTACGCGAAAGAGAATGAGGTACGTGTCGACAAAAAACAATTGCGCGCGTGATCGAAGAACAAGGCAATCAGCTCCGGCTGCGGCGGGTTTTGCGTGTAATTATTCGCTGTGGTTTCCTCACGCCTTCGCGTTACCTCCGTGCCGGGCGCGTGGTGGCATAGCCTTGCATGGTCGAAGGTCCGCCGTGCCCCCTTGTCGCTTCGTGATGCTGCTGGTTCATGAAACTATTTACGTGCGGTCGCAGATCGTCCGGACGAAAACGCTGGCGACGAACATGGTGTACGCGTTGTTCGCCTCGTACGTTGCCACGGCCTGGACAGCCCAGTTCCCAGCCAGCGAGCGACCTGCAAGCATCCACGTGGTAGGCCCTACCACCTCGAACGAATCCCCGAGCCTGCGTCGCGCCCGCTACTGGATGATGGGACACTTGGCGTCATGCTCGATGAAGTCTTGGGCCTTGGCGGGGCATCCCAATACCCGTCCGAACTGTCCCCATGCGGCGGCCACTGGTCCACCGGTTCAACGCAAGGCCCAACACCGCTGCCTTGACTCGCGGGGGCGCAACCCAGCGCTGCCGTTGAAGATGTGCATGGATTGTCGCGCCACCTTGGCCGGAGGCCCTGGAAGACGCCAGCAGGCAAGCCGAGCCCGAAGACGCTGTGTTGGATCGTATCCGCCTTTGTCAAATCGTCGGCGCACGTACAATCATGGGTGCCCCGCGGGAAGCGCAATTACTGGGCCCGACTCAGAGGGCCGTCGATGTCGCCCACCAGCGCAACGCGGGCCGCCCGGAGGTAAGCGCCCTGCTTCTCCGCCCGTCGCGCCGTTAGCGTGACCACTGTAAGTATGTGCTGGTCGCACCAAAGCTGTAGTCGGGCTGCGCGCACGGGGTAGTCAGTGCAGCGCAAGGCTACCCGCAGTTCGCGTGACCTTCGCAGTCATAGGCGCGCAACATCGCAGCTGTGCGCGAAACCTCGAATGGGTGCAGGCCCCTGACCAGTCCCAAGTCACGACCATGATGGAAGTCAGCCGCCGAACACCACGATGCAGGCCCTGGCGCCACCGTCCTGGCTCAGAACCTCGCGGTCTCGACGCCCCAACTCATATTCTGCAACCGCTTCCTTGCCAGGCCCGGCATAGAAGCCGAAGTATTTGAGGATGTCCACCCACGTGAGCTGCGGCATCGACCAGTTTTGGCATTTCGGTCTGCATGGAGACGGCGTCCACGTCGGACAGCGGGATGGCGATTGTCTCGGTCATGTTCAAGCGCAAATTCGACACCGCCGCAAAGGTCGCAAAGGTCCAGAAGATTTCCTTGATCTCTTGAGTCCAGGGACATGAGCCCTGGACCCTGGGGCCTGCCCAAGGACCACCCTTTCTCGTCCTGACTCTCTCTTAACATATCCGAGGAGGGCCCCATGCCAGAAACAATGCGAAACATATAATCCCTTTATCTCAGGGTCATTTCTTCCTTAGAAAGGAAAACCTGCAAAACGACCTACTGGACCTCTCTCTTGGTCTGGGGTGCGTCCTGGCAAGAATTCCGAGGGGAGCTCAGCCGTGGCGACAGGGAGCCTTCTGGAGGCCCCCGTGACAAACACAGATACACACGCAAAGCACAAGGAAGCATGACCCTCGAAAGTAGAACTTCGATTCTCCTTGCCCAGGCATCCAGACCTTTGAAGTTTGCAGCCTGCGGCCCAAACATCCCGACCCCTGTCCACAATGCTTTCTGAAAGTGGAATTTCGACGAGATGCCATGCGCCCACGATTACTACCGAAAACATCGATCCTCGACCATTCATGCCGAAGCCTCGGCAGTGCAGGACGGAGAGATGTAGAGCGGCACGCGAAAGGGCAGCCTCGAGCTGCTCCAGCAGTAAGGCGGCCCCAGCTGGTAGGGGCATGCCGATCTTCGGGTGGGGGGGGGAGGCGTAGGGCGAGACGTACATTCGATAAGAAATCTAAATCGGCACGTTCTTCGTTGATTAATGGTCATAGGACTTCCTGAGGTGTGCCAGGGCTGGTTTCTTCTTTGACGTGCCTGCTGCAGGGAAGCCCGCGCGCGCTTGGCACCATTACGACTGCTTGGGCCAGCCTTTCCAAGGCACAGCCTGTGGACCAACTCGGAAACACAGAACAGTACAACTGCTTCAACATAAACGTTCGAGGGTACGCGCAGATTTCTCGGGTCGGCGCGGACCCCCAACGGTCCAGCGCCAACCCACGAATTCCGCAAGGACAGCCTCGACTTACGAAATAATCCAGGGATGGGCAAAGTGTTCAAACAATTTTGGTCCTGTTCGGTCCTCCCGGGAAGCTCCACAGAAGCCTCCTTGGTGGTACCTCCTGAGACTCCCGATGACCTCCCGGGACACCCTCCAGGGCTAGGAACAATTCAGGCGGCCCAGTGTTCGCAATTTCGGCCCCCGGAGGCCAATCTCGGGCCTCGAAGCCCTTGGGAAACGGCTCTGGATAAAGTACGTAGCGCCCCGCAATTGCGGATAAGAGTGAGGGGGCGGGCGCGGGCGACGCGGGCGTCGTCGAGCCGGCGGACCTCGTGGCCCCCACCTTCCCTGTCGATGGCGCTCTCCTCCTCCTCCTCCTCCTCCTCCTCCTCCTCCTCCTCCTCCTCCTCCTCCTCCCCTCCTCCTCCTCCTTCCTCGTCCTCGTCCTCGTCCTCATCGTCATCGTCATCCTCCTCCTCCACCTCGTCCTCCTCCTCCTCCTCCTCCTCTCCCTCGTCCTCCCTCTCCCCCCCTCGTCCTTTCATCATCGTCCTCCCATTGTCGTCCTCCCCCTCATCGGCCTCCATCATCGTCCTCCCATTGTCGTCCATCATCATCCTCCTCCCCCTCCTCGTCCTCCTCCTCCCCCTCCTCCCCCTCCTCCCCCTCCTCCTCCCCCTCCTCCCCCTCGGCATTGGTTTGTTCAGTGAACGTGGTTTGGGTCGCGGATGGGTCGCGGGCTCTCCACCTCCACCTGGAAGGAATGCAAAAGCAGCTCGCCGCAGGCGCCAAAAATTTGGTTTGTACACTGAACGTGGTTTGGGTCGCGGGTGGGCCGCGGGTTCTCCACCGGGAGCGAATGCAAAAGATGCCCGCCGCAGGCGCCGAAAAATTTGGTTTGTACCTTGAACGTGGTCGCGGGTGGGCCGCGGGCACTCCACTTGAAACGATTGCAAAAGATGCCCGCCGCAGGCGCCGAAAAATGTGGTTTGTACCCTGAGCGTGGTTTGGGTCGCGGGTTGGTCGCAAGTTGGTTTGGTCACGGGGTGGGTCGCAGGCTCTCCACCTGGAAGAAATGCAAAAAACGCCCGCCGCAGGCGCCGAAAATGGTGGTTTGTACCTTGAACGTGATTTGGGTCGAAAGTGGGTCGCGGGTGGGTCGCGGGGTGGGTCGCGGGTGGGTCGCGGGTGGGTTGCGGGTGGGTCGCGGGTGGGTCGCGGGTGGGTCGCGGGTGGATCGCGGGGTGGGCCGCGGGCGGGTCGCGTGGTGGGTCGCGGGTGGGTCGCGGGGTGGGTCGCGGGGTGGGTCGCGTGTGGGTCGCGGGGTGGGTCGCGTGTGGGTCGCGGGTGGGTCGCGGGTGGGTCGCGGGGTGGGTCGCGGGTTGGGTCGCGGGTGGGTCGCGGGGCGGGTTGCGGGTGGGACGACGACAACAAACAACAACAAACAAAAACAAAAACAAAAACAACAACAACAACAACAACAACAACAACAACAACAACAACAACACCACCAACAACAACAACAACACCAACACCAACACCAACACCAACACCAACAACAACAACAACAACAACAACAACAACAACAACAACAACAACAACAACAACACGAATCCGCACCGCGGAATTCCTCTTCAGCCACGCACCCAGGGACAGTGAATGACCGTTCGGCCCCCTCACTGTGATGTTACTTCGAGCGGTGACCGTCGAGGACCCTCAGGGTGCGCGCGCTGACCGAGTTGACGCCGATGAAGAAGGGGGGCATGGGAGGCAGAGGAGACGGCGGCGCAGGAAGGAGAGCCATGGACGGACGAAGGGCCCCATCCCTCCTGCCTCGTCCCTCTCACCCCCGAACGTTTCAAAAGAACCAAGTTGAGTAGTCGAAGCCAATCTGGCGCCAATCTGGCAGGCCCACTCTGGCAAACGGGGGCAATCTGGCGAGGGAGCCGACGCGAATCCAGTCTGGCGAATAACCCAAACCATCCAGTTTGGCCAGGCCAGATTGGCCCTTGGGGCCCAATCCAATCTGACAGTCTGGCCTTCGACTACCCAGCCAAGCCGCCAGATGTCGGCGGGGAAAGGAAGCACGTGGCTGCAGAACTTCGCTCGGCCTGGTCGAAACGATCCCAGGAAGCGGGGCGAAGGGTGCGAGCAGACTGCGATCAGACTTGCAGCAGTGGCAGCCGCGCGGGTAAACTGCGGTCAAACGATGAGAACACTATGCGCAAGCCGTCTGGAAGTTGCCCTGTGAACAGCCAGGGGCACGTAACCGTACTGGGGGTAATGACCGGCAGACCCCTCGAACAAGACACACCGTAGAAGCAATGTGGCCATGGCCTCAGAGAAGCAAGTTAACGAAAAACGAACCCGAGTTAACCCTGACCCGAGTTACCCCTGATGATTCGGGGCTCTGGACGCCCGAACCATCACGTACTGTACTGGGGGGAACATCTGGCAGACCCCTCGAAGAAGACACACACCGTAGACGCAATGTGGTCATGGCCTCAGAGAAGCAATGTGCAGCACGATGTAACTCACACGCAGAGGGAACATAACCTATGGTTAGATACGTGTCTGAAAAGAGTAAAGCTACGACCAGCGTTTCAGCAACATAGGGGCATGCAGTTGAGCAAAACGTCAGCGAACGGCTTTGTCTCGGACGCGAGCGCTCAACAGATGGGACTACCTCCTCCCCTTCCTCCTCCACACCCCCGTCTCTCTCAACCTGATCGGTCAAGAACTGGAAGCACCTATGTTGCCCATTGTGCTAGTAGAGGGGTGCAAAAGAGAAGGACGATGGTGACGACAGGGCGGCGGATGACGAGGATGACAGCGTGGATGAAGGGGAGGGCAACGAGAGGAGCAGGCGGCAAGCGAGTAGGAACATCAACGCAAGGACGAGGAGGAAGATCTGGCGGAAGACGGGCACGAGGAGGAACGAAGAGGATGATGAGAATAATCAGGTGCACGAGGAGGGCGACGAAGGAGGACGATGAGAAGCCTGAGGAAAAGGACGTCAAAGAAGGGGGGGGGATCCTCGTGATCTTTTGAAACTGCCCTGCGGGCTGTTGGGGCCGTCTGGGTCTATCATGGGGCATCCTGGGGGGCCTCTCGCGGGTCACGAACACTCAACAGATGGCGATGCCTCCTCCTCACCCTCGTCCCTCTCAATCCGCCACCGTGCCTTGTGCACGTTGAGGCGTGGAAGAATGCCAAGGGCTGTCTGGTAGTGCCCCTGTGCTCTAATAAGGGACACCTCCCGCCATGCCTTCCCAAGGCCACGAGCCCTCGAACAAAAAAAGATGAAGCCGCGCTCCCGAGGCCACGATCCCTGGTACAGCACAATGGGTATGCGTCCCGAGCATACAAGACGGCACGTGCAGGCAGCCAAAGTCGCCAGGATGACCTAACATGCCTCGAAGACAGCTCAACATGGCCCCAAAGCGGCCCAATATGGCCTCAAGACGCCCCAAGATGCCTGGTAGAGGGGCCGCAAGGGCCTCGCGAAGACCTCCGACAGGACCTGAGGAAGCCAAAACCATTGATTTCCCTGAGGTGTTCATATGAATTTCGCAATCTCGCCTTTTCGGGCTTCCGCCAGCTCACGACGGCCCAAGAAGCCTCCGCGATGGCCCCAAGACGGCTCAAGAGGCCCCAAGAGGGCACCGAGATGGCCCAAGAGATCCGACGATGGCCCTAGAGGCATCCAAGATGGCCCCAAGAAGGCCCAACAGGGCTTTCCATGGGACCCAAGACTACCTTAGAATGCGCTTCGACTGCCCAGAACGGCCCCACGACGGCCAAGGGGGCCCCAAAGACGGCCCAGTAGAGCCCCAAGACGGCGTACGAGGGCCCGGCGACGGCACAGGACCCCTAAGACTGCCTCACAAGAGGCCGAAGCAGCTCAAAGTGGTCGGAAGGAGTTCCATGACAACTTCTCAAGTATTGAAGAAGAAACGTGCCACATATGACGCCGTTCCTCGTCCTTCTCTGGCACCTCCTCCACCTCCTCCTTCTCCTCGCCGTCCTCCTCCTCCTCCTCCTCCTCCTCCTCCTCCTCCTCCTCATCATCATCATCACCATCATCTTCGCCATCACCATCAACAACAGCAACAGCAGCATCACCCTCAGTGCCAGCCTCACCCTCATCATCCTCATCACCCGCAGCAGCACATTCGTCATCACTCCCACAATCATACTCGTCCCCATCCTCATCATCATCATCATCATCATCCTTATCCGCCTCCTCCTCATCATCATACTCAGCATCATCATCGCCATCATCGTCACCATCAGCATCTCCACCATCCCCCTGATTCATGCATCACCACAGCTCTTCCAACCCTGGAGTCACGAGGTGCCCCGATCCTTTGCCCTCTGCCATTATGTGCCCTGGCGTCTCTTCGACGGAGATGGTGGCCTTCGGTGCCCCCTCGAACCGTCGCCACCCAGAATGCTTGGCTGGCTCGGTGGCGGGGCTTGCCGCAGGCAGCTGAGTATGTCCATAACGCAAGTCACCGATCCATCATCCGACGCAAAACCCAGCTGTAAGACCGCGGCGGCGAAGGACAACGAACGATGTAGGGTTACGTGCCGAGCAGAGCAGCGACAGAAACTTGCCAGAATTGCCTTTCGATTTACTTGCCCCCCGCACGAAGACACGCCAATGCGAACCCCCAAACTACTCAAGCGCACATGAAGCAGGCTGACTGCTCGCTGCATGCACCGATCATCCTTGCCACAGGCGGCGCTTCGGAGGGCAGAAGATAATGTGCTGCTCTACGTGTCGCGCTCGTGCACGCGCGCCATGGAGAAAAGACGCTGCTGTTCCTCACACCCGGCTCACACTCCAAACCGGAGGCTGAACGCATCCAAAAACCAACCCAGAACCCGCAAAGCCGAGCCACGTCGCGTCGACACAGACTCGGCCAAGGGTGGCCGATAAGCCCCCGAAGACAGGGCGACGAAGTATCTGTACATATCCACTGTTCCTGGCCCAGGCCCATCCTGTGCGTAAAAGCAGTGTGTACGTCCTCCCTGCGTGGCCAGGGAGGCATCTCCACCGCTCCTGGACCCAGGATGAGCCTGGCCAGGAAGCAGCGGATGTGGATAGATCTCGTCGCCCGATGAAGAGGGAGGCACGCGCGGCGACCGCAGCCTCCCCATCGGGACTGCGCCGGCGCGCCCCAGGTGCCGCCAGCAGCAGCTCCGCCGCGTCAACCGCGGAGGCCGCCGTGCTGGCTGCGTCCAGCAGGGCCTCCTGGAGAAGCGCACACTCGGGCACGCGAGGTGGCCGTCGGTCGCGGCTTGGGAGCCGCACGCGTACTTCCGGTTCGCGTCGCGTCGGCCCCTTCGCGTCGTTCCTGTCACTGCGGAGCTCGTTCGAACTTGAACGCACGGCCCTTTGAGCAACGCCGCATCGTTTTAACCTTGGGCCGAATCTGTGCCGCGGGCGGCGTTCAACCTCACACGCCCGCGCTGGGGTCGCCACCGGTCGACACGACGCGGACCTGCCGTACAGAGCTAAGGTACGCGGGCCTTCGCCCCAGACAGAAAGCGCATGGTTTGTCTAACGTCTGGCGCTCGCGAACCTACCCCGAAGAAAGTCCACCATGCCGTGGGCGGTGGCGGTTGCGAACGCAATCTCATGGTCGTGTCCCTGTCCCGGGGCGGCTGGTCGCGCATCCTGGGGAAAGGCACGGTTGGTCGCGCGATCGGAAAGATGGGCCAGCCCAGCCCCGCATACCCCGCTTGCTGCCTTCGGCGACTCCGACCTGTGCCCGACTCCATCTGTACCGCCTTCCGCATGCCCACGACGCGATCGCATGAGGAGCCCACAGGAAGACCATCGGAGTGATGCGAAAGCGCCTGCAGTTACAAGCGTACTACGACGATCAAGAACACCGTATATTCGGGCTTGGGGTCCAAAACGGTTGACTGCATTTTCATATCGGAGTCAATCCGAAACATCTTGGAATTGGACTCTGGACGAAACCAGAGGCTTTCGCTTGGAAAACGCTATGGGACTCCTCTAACAACAACTCAAAGGCATGCCGTGCCTGGGCGATCATCGGGGCTTCCAGCTTCAATCCTGGGAATCAGCTTCCGCAACACCTGGGCGTCTTGAAGTCAGAGCTGTGACGCGACTTACCGGCACAACCTCCTACCACCTGCGCAACGATGCCATCGGCAACCTCCTCCCCGTCCTGGCTTGCAGCCTGATAGGTCTGGATCCGCGTATTCCGAATCCTGCCGCCTGGCTGATTCCTGTACGCCACTGTTTTTTCGGGAGCGGCCAAGGGGGGGTGTCCAAGAGGGGTGGGTGCAAATCATGGCCGGCGGCATGTGCGCGGACCAGCGGGGGGGCCAGGGACGTAACGAAACAAGACGAGGCGCCCTGAAATCTGGGGAAATATCATGGCCCCCGCCATGATATCCACCCCCCTAATCATCACCCCCCTCTTTGCCGCCCCCGAGATTCCTGTACGCCACTGTTTTTGATGTGTCGAGGATCCTTGCCGGAATCGCCAGGGCGCGCGCCCTTGTGTGATGCCTGCAAGCAGTGGGCTTCGACAGTTGTCGGGACTGGCTTTTAGACCAATGACCATGCATGTTCACAGGCGTTCTCAAAGCATGCGTTTTCGATGCTGGGCTGCATGCGCGGATGATCACTGCACGATCCTTGCAAGAAGCCTGTGGGGCGATAGGCATGCTCGTGAGGTCTGTGAACCATGCTACGTGTTTACTGCAAGCATGGCTATGGCGTGAGATGGGGTGGTATCGGAGCTCAGTCCGGTTCCTGATACCATTCCTACGAACATGCTCGAACGAAACTGCTTGCTCGCTTGTGCGCGAGCGTGCGTGCTGGTGCACTTCCTGCATGCATGGCTGCTTGCTTGATTGCGCGCGCCCTTGCATGACTGCGTGCCTCTATGTTGGCGTACGTACCTGCTTACGTGCTTTTGTTGTTTGTGCGCAGTGGCTTGCTCAGGAGCGTCCTCGCAGGGCTGGGAGCACGCATGCTTGCGTGGCCTCCTGCGTGCGTTGGTTGCTCATGCCCTCTTGCACGGTCGCCTCCTCGCGTGCTTGAGTATTCAGATTGCTCGCGCGCGTGCTTGTATGCGTCCCTACAGACTTCGCGTCACTAATTGAATGATTGCACGCATGATTGCATCCAGACCTGGGGTATCACTTGTCTGCCGGGTTTTCGCGCGATATGGGCTTCCTTATTCATCTGTGTGCTGTTTGCCTACTGGTTGCTTGCACGCTGGTGTGCTGGCTGACGCCCGTGGGCACGTGCTACCTCGTTCTTCCCCAGAGCTCGTGCGCTGGGTTCTCGCTTCGAGTAGAGCACTGCGGTGGCGACCTCCTCGCGCCCCCCCCCTCCCCTCCCCCTTCTTGCCTGCCTGCGGCCCTGCCGCATACCCGCCTTCCGCCCGGCCTCCGGCTCGCCTCCCACGTGACCCCTGCCTCGCCCGTGGCCTGTGCCTCGCCATCTCTGGGGGACTGCGATCTGCGACACCGTCGCCACTCTCGAGGAATGCTGGGGGGGTCTCGCGGGGTGCCGCCCCGAACGGACCTGAAGTCAACCTCGCCCTCCCTTCGGGGGGCTGCGATCTGCGCGGCCGTTGCCACTTTCGATGGATACTGGGGGTCAATTGGAGCGACGTCCCGCGCGGGCCGAACTTCGACCTCGCCATCCCTGGGGGGGCTGCGATCTGCGAGATGGTCGCCACTTTCGAAGGATGCTGGGGGTCCAGCAGGATGACGCCCCACGCGGACCTAGACCTCAACATCCCCAGGGGGCTGCGATCTGCGAGGCTACGAGAAAGGGTCCAGCGGGGTAGCACTCCACGCGGACCTAAATTTAGACCTCACCATCCCTGGAGGCTGATATCTGCGAAACTATAGCCACGTTCGGGAGCTGCTGGAGGGTCCAGCGGACTGACGCCCAAAACGGGTCGAAATCTGAGGTCGCCATCCCTGGGCGAGGGGTGGGCTGCGATCTGCGAAACTACAGTCACGTTCGGAGGCTGCTTGAAGGTCCAGCAGGGTGACGCCCCACGCGGGCCGAAATTCGACAGTGCCGTCCCTTTGGGACTGCGACATGCGAAACCGTCGCCAATTTCGAGGGCTTCCAGGGGGTCAAGCGGGGCGACGCCCCACGCGGACTTACATTAGACCTCGCCATCCCTTGGGGGGCTGCGATCTGCGGGACTGCCGCCACTTCCGAAGGCTGCTGGGGTGTCCAGCGAAGCGACGCCCCACGCGAACTCAAATTTGACCTCGCCATCCCTGGGGGGGAGCTGCGATCTGCGAAACTGTCGCCATTTTCGAAGGCGACCGGGGGGATCCAATGGGCCGACGTTCCACACGGACCTGCACTAGACCTCGCCATCCCTGGGGGCTGCGATCTGCAAAACTCTAACCGCGAAGAGTCTTTAGGCCCCCCCAACACACTAAGGTGTAACTTTTCCAGCGGCCTAATCACATATAGTTGCCCCACCACTAGGGAGCATTATTCTTCTTTTCCCCCGCGGCACCTGCCGCGCAATCGCGACGCCGACAGCTACGACTACGATTGGACTGCGACTGCGACAACTATTAATCATTTTGTTTCAGGAACGCCTCTCATGGATTATCTGGGCAGAAACTTTGTATACATATATATATATACACATGTGCGTATGTAAAGCAATCATCTTACATACGTGTTCAACATTATGCTGTCGTGCAGGGTCGCCCAGGCACTATTCCTTTGGAAGAACAATTATCCAGACCGCCCAACAATAAGGCAACATAATCTCCGCCGCCGCGAGGGCGTTTTAGGGCCAGTCCCATTCACCGCCGGAAGAAAAGAAACCGTCTGAGGTTAACCACTTTCGGGGGCCGCTTGGGAGTCCAACGGGGTGGCGTCCCACGCGGACCCAAATTTGACCTCGCAATTCGTGCGGGCTGCGATCTGCGAAACGGTCGTCACGTTCGAAGGCTGGTGGGGGGTCCAGCAGAATGGCGTCCCGCGGGTCCCCGAGACCTGGCGGCGCGCCTGCGGGCGTATGGCCCCCGCGCTGCACGATGCAGGAAAAAACCCGGAACCTTGTGGGCGAGGTCGGCTTCGCTCTGTTCTTGCACTGGCTATGACAAGATGGCCCTTTGGCGCGAGGTCGACCTGGCGCGGGCGGCGCTGCTCGTCCAGCGCGCCAAGGGGTAATGGCCGCCACACCCTTTCTTCATCCTGCTTATTTTGTTGTCGTCCTCTTCCTATGTTGCCGTTCCCCTGCTGCTGTCGCGTTCACTGCTCGGCCCCTCTTCCGTCCTGTTCCTGCCCCCCGTTCCCACCCCAGTTCTTCTTCGAGCCTTGGGCCTCAATGCTCGTTTTTTTGTGCTGTCCTGTGGGTCGCGCAACGGGCGCGTTCCCCATGAAGATTGCACAATCAATGGAGGTCTTGTGTTTTCATTTACCAACTTATCTGGGCCAGCTCTCCTTGTCACTCAGTGCGGACGGGTTGGGTACGTGACCTGGTGATTTTTCAAAACAGCCAAGCGAAGGAGAAGAAGGAATTCGTTGCCCCTAGGTGGGGGCTTTCCCGAACGCGCAGCGCGAGCGAGGCTGACCGCAAGGCAACCAAAGCAACAGCTTGCAGCAACCCCCAGCTCGGGGAACTCGCGGAGCAAGAAAGCAGATGGCGGCTGATACGACATTTCCCACAAAACGTATTAAGCCACAATTGGCAACGTTGCGTTGGAGGGTGAAAGTGGGCGCCGGGCGCAAGGTCACGGCAATGGTGTCTTTATGGGTCGCGCGTGGGCGATACATCCTCGATTGCTGCGTTCGGCGGGGGAGCCAATTGAAGCTCCTCGCCTGCACCCGTGCGCGGGACTTGAGGGGGAACGAAGCAAGTGGGCGCGGGAAAAAAGGCGACGAAGGCAACGTGCGCTGAGGGCGCAAAGAGAACATATTTGAATAAACGACAGCGGTGATGTGAGTGTCAAAATCGGCCCAGCCTATCTGACATGCGGAAAACTGCGCCTGCGTTTTGGGGATCTTGAAGGCCAGGGCAAAATGTGAATTCACACTGTGGGGGAAAGCAAACTGTGAATTCAAATTTGAGAATAGGGAAATGTGAATTCCCATCGGAAGAAAGTAACATGTGAATTCACATGTTGTAAGTTTGTGTAAGAATCCGTACGAAAAGGGCCAGAATATGAATTCACATTTTGGGAAAAGGGAACATGTGAATTCACATTCTGGAAAGAACGAAAATGTGAATTCACAGTTTGGGAAAATCGCGGGACCCATTCCAAATCTGTCTTGGGGGTCGATACGTCATCGTTAGTACGGGATCATCAATCGCACAATCAAGACACACTTGCACTCCACCTCGCCGCCCCACGCGCAATACGCAAGAACTCCACACGCATGAACGATAATGGATGGACGGCGCGTTTGCCCGCGCGGGCAACGCGCGGGCACGAACGGATGGCCCTCCATGACCGCCAACATTGGATGCCAATCGTACCCGATCACATACATGAGCGATACATTGAGCATGCATGGGCCATTCAGCCCCCATTGAAGACCCCCTGTTGCAGACCCCCTCCCTCTTTCACCCTCCAATTGTGTCGCAGCCTCTACCGCATGTCCCGGACGGCCACTGCCATAAATCGGCCGCTGAAGGACACCAACGCAGGACTACACGCTCCAGCATCCGCAGGAGAAGAAAAGGACGGACGGAGGAGGAGATGGAGAGCGGGCGGACAAACGCCAACCGCCCATAGCTAGACAAGCGGTCCCGCGAACGTGGCCGAAATTCCCCTGGCAATCGTCCAGGCGCTCCGGGAATTCGGGTGGAATTAGGCGGATGCTGCACAGCAGGGCCAGAAGGAAAAACAGGAGGGGAAACCAGGGAGGAGGCAGCAGGGAGGGGGCGGGACAGAGGACAACGAACAGATCAGATAAGTAATCAATTTCAGAGGCAGCCCCTAACACATTTTCCCTCGTTCCGTGCATGCACACATCTTTGACGACTTGCTTGAACGCGACCTTGTTCGCATGTCTGCGCGCGTTCGTGCAATTATCCTCTTCCTCCTCCCTCCTCCTCCTCCTCCTCCTCAGTCCTCCTCCTCTTCCTCCTCCCTCTCTCTCTCTTCCACTATCTCTCCCTCTCTTTCTTTATTTCTTTATTGTGTTATCTCTCTCTCTCTTCCTTCCTGTCTTCCGATCTCCCTATCCGCTGATCCATACCTTCGCTCCACTCTCCCCCTGCCAAACATCCTCGATATCTTCCCTGTTATACCTCCTCCCTGTCTTCGTGCCTTTGCGTCCTCCTCCCTCCTCCTCCTCCTCCTCCTTCTCCTCCTCCTCCTCCTCCTCCTCCTCCTCCTCCTCCTCCTCCTCCTCTCGCCGTTGCTAGAACGACCATTCACCAGTGTGTGTTCCGATATCTTGCGTGCTTCTGCTTCGCAAGATGGTCGAAGATACACCTCGATGGTCCTCGCCGAGGAAGAAATGTAAACGTCCGAGCGATGCGAGAAGCTCCAGAGGCCGCCGAAGCCTTCCGAAAATCTGACGCTGAGCAGGGACCGACCGTCCCGGTATTCCTAGAGGCCTACCACGACATGTTCTTAGAACCCAGAAATGTTACAATCACAAAACCAATGTTCTTAGAACATAAACCCGATGTGGTAAGGCAAGACTGTCCCAGCCAGCAGAAATGTTCTAAGAACATTTCGTGGAAACCACAAAACGGTCTTAGAGCATTGTTTGGTAGGCCGATCGGCACGCCAGGACGCTTCGCCACTGCTTGATGCAGGGAGCCCCCCACACCTTCTCCTACTACTCCTCATTCTCATCTTACTCCTCCTCCTCCTCATCATCCTCCTCCTCCTGGTCGCCCTGCTGCTGATGTTGCTCTCGTCCTCTTCCTGGCTTGTGCATGCCTGCACACGAGTGTCCTGCGGCATTCTCCCGCCGCCAAGATCCGACGTCGAGGGCTGGACTGGCGTGCCGGCCGTGCCCGTGGGGCTGGCGCCCAGAAACCCTTGCAGGATACGCGGGTGGTGCTCCTGAAAGCCTGGTCCCGGCGCCAGGCCCGGCGCCTCGCTGGCACGCTGGCAGGCGGGTTTCCAGCATGCCGATGTCAGCGTCAGCCGACGAACTGCGCGGCGGGTCTTGGCTTGCGGCACGCGTGCGATGGACGCCGCAGGGGCGCTGCGCGCGGTGCTCGCAGGCAGGTGGTCACCGAGTCCGTCGCGGCGAAGTGGGGGGCGGGGCCTGCCGCTGGCCCTCAGTGCGGCGCCGCCGTGGAGGACTTCGAACACCGCGCGTGGGCCTGCCAACGTTGGAAGCCAGAGCGCCTGTCGGCGTTGCAGCAAGAGGGGCTCACCCGCGAGGCCGCCCGCGCCCCATCGCCGACCGAGACGGCCTCGCCTTGCCGCCCTCGCGGGGGAGGCCCGGCTGCTCCTGCCGCTGCCCGCGTTGCCCGACCCTCTGGGCCGCCACCCGGCGGCGCCGCCGCACGGGCCGCGCGCGTGGACCGACGGCTCCGGCGTGCGCCCAGGTGGTCCTCCCCTGGCCAGAGCTGGCTGGGGGTGTGCGCAGGCGCTGCGCATGGCGGGCGGCTGCGTGGACTTGGTCGAGGCTTCGCGCTTCGTCAGCCTCGGAGTTCGCGATTCCCCGGGCCGGCGCGTGCCCAGCCGGCTGAGCGCACGCAGACCTGCGGGATGCCATCGCCCCGTATGGGGTGTTGCGCGCCCTTTGGGTCAAAGCGCACCTTGACGCCGACGAGGCGCGTGAGCGCAGCATGTCCGAGGAGGACCACAGGGCCAACGCTGCAGCGGACAGCCTGGCTCAGCGTTGTGCCAAGAGCGCACGCGGCAGCTCGACGCGCTGGCCGCGGTGCACAGAGTGCTGCCGTGGTGGGCTCCGTGGCGCTTGCGGCGCAGCCAAGCCGCGGGTTCTGCGTCGTTGGACGGCGCCGCGGGCCGCGCGGCCTCAGCGACCACCCTTGGGGACCCCGTGGCGCGGCCGGCGGCCGCCGGGGACCGGTGGCGGGGACCGGCGACCACGGGCCTGGCGTGGCCGCTGCCGTCCCGTCGGCAGCGCCCTCCGCGCCGGCGGCAGCGGTCCGGGCGCTGCTCGCGGGACATGCCTGGCAGCCGCACGTCGCGCAAAGGTGAGGGCATCGGATCAGGAACCATTAGATACAGGGCAATTTTTAATACATCGGATGTTTAATACACCGGATTTGTAATACATGATTAATGTATGAATAAGTTCATGCATGAACTCATCGTTGTTTTTAATACTAAATCCCTGCCTTTTCTAATACATGATCCGCACGCGGAGCATGTATAAAAAACGGCACTGTAAGGAATCCAGGGTCTGGAGCCTGGTGGGACTCCAATCGTGGATGGGCCATGGAAGCCTCCCGGGCACAGCCGGTCGGAGCCCTCATCAAATCTGAATCCAGGGCAGGCCGGGCGTGTCGCCGGAGACTTCCTGACGATAAAAAGTTCCTCAAGCTTAAAAATCTGCAACAGCTTCGCAGATGAAGGGCGGGTCGATTCGACAATGTGGCTCTCACCTGAGCGCCAGACAGATTCGTTTCACAAATTGCAAGAGCTTCAAAGATTGAGGGCGGGCCGTTTCCAAAATCTGGCTCTCGCAAAAGCGTCGCGCACATTCGGTTAACAAAAAGTTTCACGGATTGAGGGCGGGTCGTTTCCAAAACGTGGCTCTCGCCTTCGCGCCGTTCCAAAATGCGGCTCTCGCAAAAGAACGCCGCGCACATTCGTTTCTACAAATACGCGAGTGTTTCGCGGATTGAGGGCGGTTCGTTTTCAACATGCGGCTCTCGCCTCACACCGCTCAAATTCGTTCAGCACTATTGAAAGAATTTGACTGCTTGTCATGGTATCGTATCAGACATGGTGTCTGGGGTGAGTCAGGACTGTCAAGGCGCAACAATTACGTTGATTTGCGGTTTTGAAATCCCAGAACTGGTGTTCTGGCACGGTTCAGGGTCGTCACGACGCAACAGTCAGGTTGACCCGTGGCGTCGAAATCCTGAGGATGGTGTTTCGGCACGCTACAGGATCTTCACACGGTTGTGGCCCAACGGGGCTCGTCCCCCAGTGGAAATGAAATCTTGATCCATGCAGAGGCCTATGAAAAGAGAGCTTAGAGGGAGGGTGTGTTCCAACATCGTGGATGAGTCTTGGGTTTGCACTGGTCCTCCTCCTCCTCCTCCTCGGGCAGGAGGTGGAGGAGAACGAGAGGAGGAGCACGAAGAAAGGAGAACGAAGAGGAGCACGCCCACCATGAGTACCCCAAACCCGCTCAAACCCCCGAACTTCTCACGTGGATTCCATCCTGGCCAAGTTATCGCGCTGGGTCGCTCGGTCCGACCGTGGCGACGAGCATCTGCAGAAGCGCTCAGAACCAGCCCCTTCCAGCGACGACGGGAACGACGCCGCCGACGAAGAGGACCTCGGAGAGCACGACCCAGAGAGAAGCGGCCGGGCGTTTCCCTGGCGGAGTCCCCCTGCAGCGCTGCCCGCGCCGTGCCCTGCAGCGACTCCAGGAAGCCGCGCAGCTCGTCGACGAGGGGCTGCACATGGGCCAGGTCCTGTCGCGTCCAGCCCCGTTGGCAGACCGCGGCGACGGCGACGGCGAGGGCGGCGGCGACGACGACGGCGCTGGCGGAGACAACGATCGCGACGGCGAGGGTGGCGCCGGCGAGACGCTGGCGACGACGACGGCGGACAGGAAGCTTTGCCTGGGCAGCTTGGGGATTGTTTTGGGGCGCCCCATTGCTTCTAAAGCCACCCCAGCGGACCAGAGACCGCCCTGAATAACTTAGGTGCCCCCCCTCCAAGCTCCAAAATCCAAGAAAGTCCCCACGAGAACACCGAGGAAGAGCCTACGCATAGCACCTGCGGGAGGCGCACAGGGCTCTCGCGGTGTAATCAGAAGGCCGCCCAACTGGGGCCGGAGGATCGCACATCGCCGAGGCACCACCGATGCATCACCGATGCATCACCGATGCATCGGCGAAGCCGCAGTGGGGAACATCGGGGTCCTGATCGCGCCGCACCGTCAACTCGGCGCGCTTGGAGGTCGGGCTTCGGCCCGTCACGGAAGGAAAGGCGCCTACAGCAGATTCGGGGTCCAGGGGCCCAAGAATACAACATCCCAGCGGGCGGCCTGCGATGTAGAGCATGGAATAGCTCGCCGTGCTCTTGCCTCAAGCAATCGCTGCTCAGTGGCATGCCAATCGCCGAGTGATGTCGACAGCGGCCTGCAAGAGACGCGTCCACGAGGACGTCGAGCAACCAGGTCTGGCAGCTAATGGTGACTGCGACTGGGCTCGCACTTGGCAGAAGTCTCCCGAAGTTGAAGGACATCGCGCGTCACAGATGGGCCATCGAACTTTGAGCAGGCCTGAAGGGCTTGACTGTTTTGCCTGGTGCGCGACTGCTGTCAGCCACCCCCACCCCTCCTCTTCATCCGCCCTCCTCCCTGCCACTCCTGCATCGGCGGCAGCTCTGCGCTCAGAGCCTGACGCAGGGGTTGGATCTCACGGCTGCATTGTTTGCTGGTTAAGTGTGACTGCCAACTCGGTTCGTTTTGGGGCTGGAATCGCGACGGGCCTTCGGGAGCTCGGACACTCAGCCTGATGCCTTCGGGGACAACGCACCTCCACCCGGCTCTGAGACCGGCCTCTTTCAAGACGTTGCACGCGTTGGATGAAGCCTCTCGGTACTCGGCGAACGCAACGGTCTATCGAGTTGAATCCTTCTCCTTATCCGTTTGCTCATCCTTCTCTTCTCCATATTTCCGACAGTATCCGACCTCTTCATCCTCCTCCTGTTCATCCTCGGTGTTCGACTTCTCCTCCACCTCCACTCCATCCTTTGTCCCACGCGCCCCTCCTTTGCTTCCCGCCGCCTTCCCCTCGTGATTCTCCTCTTCGCCGAGGCCTCCAGGAAGCGAGCACGAGGGGGACGAGGACAAGCAGAAGGAGACTGGCGCGGAGCACTTGGGGACGGCGAGAGGAAGCATTACCAGCCTGGAACAGATTCCTATCCCTATGCTGGGCATCGCCCCATCACGATGCCAATCTTAGGGATTCCCTCAGTTTTTGAGGGCGCATCCCTAAGATTGTCGTCGCCTTTCGGCGTGTCAATCTTAGGGATAGGGATCAGTTCGAGGCTGGTGAAAGCAGGGGAGTCCGCCCGACCCTGTTAAGAGGGCATCGGGCTGCGCGCGGCCCCGCGGGGCTGCTGCCGTGCCCGTGCCCTCTCGTCTTTTCGCCCGCTCCCCCTCGCCCTCGGCCTCTCTCCTCCTCTCGCGCTCGCGCTCTCGCTCTCCCTCTCTCTCTCTCTCTCGTCCGGTCTCCTGCCTCTGGCCTCCTGCCCCTCGCGCCCCGCCTCCCTCGCGCTGCCAGCTGGCAAGCCGCTCCTCCCCGCTGCGCGGGCTGACTGTACACACGAGAGCGCCCAGCGTACAGTCGAGGCGTTGACCGAAGGAACCCTAAATAAGGAACGAGGCCCCTATTTTCCATAAGTTAAGCTTCGACTTCGTATCGAAAACCTGAGGAAAATCTAAGGCAAGCTGCGAAACAATCAGGGAACACGGAGCCCCTCCCCAACGAAAAGGGTTCCTTCTTCAGGGCCCCGACTGTATCATAGGCGCGCCAAAGAGGCCTCGAGCAGGGCTCCGCCGAGCACCGAGGAAAGCCCATGCGGGCCGCAAGGATGCCGCCAGGACGACCCCAGCGCACGCCCGGAACGCTCTGCATGGCATCGGGGTGGCCCTGCGAGGCTTCCCCAACATCCTACCAGAATGGCTCAATCGTGCCCAACGACCCCCCCCCACCCGATGCGCCCTCAAGATGCTCGAAAGGTGATTCCCGTAGGCCTCAAGATTGCCCCCAGAATCGGGCCCCCAGACGGCCCCCGTAGGTCCCAAGGTAGCCCCACCAATATCCTAGATGGCCCAACAGTGCCCCACTACGAAACGCAACCTGGAGACTGCAAGACTCCAAGATTGTCTCACAGGGCCCCGACACAGCCCCAGGGTGACTCGGCCTGGGGCGCTCGCGGCAGATGACACATCAGTATACACAATAACGAGACGGAAGATGCGCAGAGGAGGATGGGCTCCAGATTGGATGCCACGTACATGCGACGGCCCATGGACCTCTCGATCCCTTTTTCCTGGGGCCGGCTCTTCATCCCGACATGTTTGTCCTCGCCTGTCTGCGCGATGACATGTCCGATCTCCCGCTCCCAGCAGCAGACGACCCCTGGATAAGCAAAGCCCGCCCGCCCCCGAAGCCCCGAACAAGAACAGGCAAATCATAACTCGGGGAGTTCTGCAAGCGCTTTTGGGCCGTCTGATGATTCACAGGAAGGGCGGGAGCAGGAGAGGGAGGCAAGCGGAATGAGCGCGAGGATCAGGATGGGATTGCGATGATGGGGATGAGGAGCGGGAGGTGAAGCAGCAGGAGGAGGATCAGGAGGGACAGAGGAGCATGACGATGACGACGATCGGGATGGAAAAGACGAAAGGGAGCAGGAGGATCATAATCAGCCTGCGGCAGCGCTGCTGCATACTCGTAAGGGGCGGAAGAGGACGAAGAGGAGGACGAAGGAACCATGGGGAAACAAACAGATACGGATACCGCTTCTCCCCGGACATCTGCCAGGGTGCGTTCTGACCAGAATTGAGGAGAAACCAGCAGTGGCGACGAGGGCACTCCAGAATGAGCAGCGGTGTCAGTACCTCTTCCTCCTCCTCCTACTCCTCCTCCTCCTCTGCCACCAGACGGGAGGTGCACGGGACGGGACAGGGCAGGAAGGGACAGGCCAGAACGGACGGGGCGGGGCGGGATTCGAGGGCACGTAGAAGTAACGTAGGGGCGGAGGTGAAGTTAGAGACAATTCACTCTAAACGGCCCCAGGAAGGAGAAAGGAGAAGACGTGAGCATCCAGGCAGCTTTGCTCCCTAACCCAACCTTGGGACAGCCCTCCCTCTGCGTACCCTCAGGTCGGGCATGTCCTCCTACAGGCAGATTTGGGGTTTTTGGTTATAAAGAAAGGATCCCCAGACAATGTATTAAATTACCCCAGTGCGACCCTACCTAGAAGTTAGAGCCCCTAGAAAAGCAGCATGAGTTGCTATGCTATGCTATGCTATGTCATGCCATGCTATGCTGCGCGATGCTAGGCTATGATATAAAGTGATATGCTATGCTATGATATGCTGCGCTATGTTATGATATGCCATGATGTGCTAGGCTATGCCATGCTATGATATGCTAAGATATGTTATGATATGTCATACTGCGCAGTGCTATGCTATGCTATGCTATGTTATGATATGATATGCTAAGCTGCGCTATGCTATGATATGATATGCTATGATGTGTTGCGCTATGCTATGCTGTACTATGCTATGCTTGGCGTTGGTATGCTATGCGGTGCTATGCAGGGGTAATGCAGCGCTGCGCTATGCTAAGCTAAGCTAAGCTAACCCTCTAGGCACAGCCTAGGTAGGGAAGTACACCCATGCTAATGCTGCGCTGTGCTATGCTATGCTGGGCTACGCTATGATATGCTATGCTGCGCGATGCTATGCTACGCTATGCTATGATATGCTGTGCTCTGCTATGCTAAAGCTCAGCGAAGCTAAGATGAAGGTAAGCTAAAGTAATTTAAACCTGAGCTCATATGAAGCTAAGCTAAGCTAAGATGACATAAGCTAAGCTAAGATGAGATAAGCAACGCTAAGCTAAGGGGCCGTCACTGGGGGAACCGCGGGGCGGATACTGGGGGAACCGCCCGGGGCGATTTGCACTGCCCGGTCCTTTAAGCACACACGGTAAGAACCCTTCTAGGCCGAGCCTAGGTAGGGAATGTGTATCAAGGTATTGTTCAAACTATTTATAAACAAAAGATCCACATAGTATTCATCACATATGTATATATATACACACCTATATATTTTTACATATATATATATATATGAGTATTCCTCCTGTCGAAGGACGCGCCCGACTGAAACGTACCCCCGAAGGCCGGCCTCCGCCTCGTCCGCGCGCGCGTCCGGCGCCGCGTGGGCCGCGCAGGGCACCTGAGGGCTCCCGCGCGCCGCAGGGGGGCGGGAGCGACCAGCGCCGGGGGGCGGAGCGCGCGGTGCCAGGAGGGCGAGGGCGAGGGGGGGCGAGGAGGCGGGCGAGGAGGGGCGAGGAGGAGGAGGAGGAGGGCGGAGAAGGAGGAGGAGGAGGAAGCGGAGGGCGGAGGAGGAGGAAGCGCAGGAGGAGGAGGAGGGCGATGGCGAGGGGGGTGCGAGGAGGCGGGCGAAGAGACCAGGCAGGAGCAATAACGCGAGGCAGCATGCTGGTCGGCCTCCCTCTGCGGCGGTGCCCGCAGCGGCCCCTCCCCCTCCCGACAGCGGGCGGCGCGGCGCCGCGCGAGAGCGGGGTGGGTCGGCCTTCTTCTGCGGCGGTGCCCGGGGCTGCCCCCCCCCCCCCCAACCGACAGCAGGCGGCGCGGCGCCGCGAGAGCCCGGGGACAAATCCTGGGCTGCGCCACGCGGCGCCGGCACGCCCCAGTGGCCCTCGTGGGCCGCGCACAGGGCGTGCCAGGCTGCGCTCGTGCCGCGCCGCCGCTGCGTGTCGGACAGGCGCGTCAGCTCCTGGCGACGTTGCTCCGCGGAGGGGAGCCGAGGCACGCGGCCACGGAGGCGGCGTGGCAGTCTGGGGGGGCGGCTCCGAGGAGGCGCGCGGCTTTGGCAGAGCGCAGCCCGGGGCACGCCGAGCGGTGCCCGCCGTCGCGGCAGGAAGCGGGCGCGTCCTACCGCAGGGCCTTTCAGGGCGCGGGGTTCGGGTTTGGCAGCAGGTGCTGCAGCAGATGCTGCGTGCACTTCTGGGGGACCTGGAGGCTGGAGGGGCGCGCGCACAGCGGCTTCCCCCTCGCGGCCGGGGCGCGGCCCGCAGGTCCGAGCGCGAGTCAGGGCGGGCACGCGCAGGGTGGGCTGCGCGGCCTGGGCGGGCGCAGCCAACCGAGATCGATCACAGATGCGCCTGATGCCTCGCACTCCGCCGAGAAGGTGGCAATGGCCATCTCGAGGCTACGGGCTACGGGCAGGGACGGCCTGCTCCGCTGTAGCCCAAGTCCCTGCGTCTTGGAGCACAGCCAGGTAGCGGCTGAGCTTGTAAACCTTGCTCGCCTCCAGTCTGGGGTCGCTCGGAAGGTCACCCTCAATCACAAGTTTGGCCCCAAGCTGGTGAGTTCTACCACTTGCCTCCTGCCGCCGTCCATCTGCCCAGACATGGCGCAGCTGCAGGACGCGCTGCTGAGTATGCCAGCACTCCGACAAGATCCTGGCAAGGTGTGGCGAGGAGCAGGTCTGACCCCGCGTCGATTTTGATCGCGGTGACGTTCCTCGGGAACATGTGGAGGTACCAGGGCATGACCACGTATCTATCCTTTTTGGGCCTGAGGTAGAGCTTCGACATAGCGGCGCACGCGGGAACACGTGCCGTACGGGAGTGCACGGGCGCGACTGGTTACTGATCCAAGACGACGTCATGTCGCAGGACAAGCAGATGCTTGAACTCCACGGAATGTTGTCGGGATGTTCGCGCTCACGTGCGAAACCCTCCGGGGACGCCTGTGCAGCGTATCGGGACCTTTTCGTCCTCTGAGCTGCGGCGGCACGCTCGGAGGGCGGCCCGCCTTCGCCGGAGGGCCAACCTGCGCGAGCAGGCCAGCGTCGCGGACGCGAGGAGCTCGCAGGACGAAGGCGCGGTACAGCTGACCGCCCTGCCGCGCTTGGCGGATCGGGCGGCCCTCGTCGAGCTCACCGGCGCGTATGAGCTCGGCGGAATGCACGTGGTTATCCCAGGGACTTTCCCTTGCTTCCCATAAGGAGTCATGTTGCACGAGGCTGCGAGCCCTGGTCAAAGTCTCCCTAAAGAAGAGAGGAGAGGGTGGAGGAGGAAGAGAAGAGGAAGCAGAGGAGGAGAAGGTGGAGCCTTGGGCACGCTTCTCTTTTCTATCGTTCACGCACATGCCTTTTCACCCCTCCGCTCGCACCGCGCAAGTTGTTGCGTACTTCGCCTGGGTCGGCATTGCAACGCTCTGTTCGGCTAGAAGCGCGCTGCAGGCTTGCACCTGGAGTCCGCGCAACGTAAACATTTGTTTTCCTCTGCAGGCCGAGGAGGCGGAACCAGTCAGCAACGTTTAGCTTGAGACACCTCGAGTACTCCCGCGGTCGTGGGCCGCGACCCTGCCATGCCGTCGCCAGCCCTGGCAGGTGACACGCTGACCGCTGGGCACTGTCGCCCACGGGAGACAAGCGCCACGCGAGCATGTGGGCGCAAACGGCCGCGAAGGGGGAGGAGAGCACGCTGCCCCACGGGAGGAAACGGGCCCTCGGGGAAACGGGTGCTGGACCCGGGGGCCTCCCCCTCCTCCTCCTCCTCCTCCTCCTCCTCCTTCTCCTCCTCTTCCTCCCTCCTCTTCCTCCCTCCTCCTCCTCCTCCCTCCTCTTCCTCCCTCCTCCTCCTCCTCCTCCTCCTCCTCCTCCTCCTCCTCCTCCTCCTCCTCCTCCTCCCCCTCCTCCTCCCCCAAGACGAGAGGTCACCAGCCCGAAGCGTTCTCTGGCGGTCCAGGGGGCCCGCGGAGGGCCCCGGGAGCCCGAAAACGGCGACAAACCTCAGGACGCGTTCTCCTCAGGACCCGTTGACCCATGGCGAACGCAGAAGAGGAAGAGGGGGAGGAGGAGGAGGAGGAGGAGGAGGAGGAGGAGGAGGAGGAGGAGGAGGAGGAGGAGGAAGATGATTCGTGAGGCTGCCTCGCGGCAGCCATTCGCCTGCGTCTCCTTTCCTGCTGCCCGTGATTGGGCCTCTGACCTCTCTGCCCGATGACCGACCGATCGATCGATCGACCGACCGACCAAGGAGGAGGAGGAGGAGGATGAGGAGACTAAGGAGTAGGAGGAGGAGGACGAGGAGACGCGATGGCGAGGAGGAGGAGGAGGAGGAGGAGGAGGGGAGGGGAAGGGAAAGGAGGAGAAGAGGAGGAGGAGGGGAGGAGAAGGAAGAGGAGACCGAGAGGAGGAGGAGAGGGAGGAGCAGGAGGAGGAGGAGGAGGAGGAGGAGGAGGAGGAGGAGGAGGAGGAGGAGGAGGAGGAGGAGGAGAGAGGAGGGGAGGGTGATGTGAGAGGGCGATGGGATTCGGGAGGGGAAGGGAAGGAGGAGGAGAAGGAGGGGGAGGGGGGGAGGAGAAGGAAGAGGAGACAGAGAGGAGGAGGAGGAGGAGCAGGAGGAGGAGGAGGGGGAGGAGGAGGGGGAGGACGACGTCGATGAGCGCACTACCCCACAACGTCTCCCTCATGCTGCGGCGGCTGGCTGCTCTCCGCGTCACCCGAGGGTGGCCGCGTGGAGCGAGTGTTGGGCGATCGGGGGTCCTCCGAAAAACGAAGCCACGACGAGGATAAAATCAGGTGGGGATAATTCGGGGATCTCTGAGATCCTGGCGGCCCTGGAGGATGTCTCGGGCGCCGCGGCCTTCTCAGAGCATTCCGGAACGCTCAGAGCGTTCCGGAACGCTCTGGGACGGATTTACCCTCGTCTTACATAGCCTCGTCCGACGCCCTTCGGAGGGTCGTCGTCGTCGTCGTCGTCGTCGTCGTCGCTGTCGTCGCTGTCGTCGTCGTCGCTGTCGTCGTCGTCGTCGTCGTCGTCGTCGTCGTCGTCGTCGTCGTTGCGCCGTCGGCGGCCGCGTCGCTGCCGCTGCGGCGGCGGCGTGCCGGCACGCGGCGCGGCGGCGCGGCGGCTTCTTGGGAGGAGGCTGCTTCTTGTAGGAGGCGCCAGCCTTACGTCTAGACAGTCAACCAGTATCGGCGACTACAATGGGTGCGGTTTGCGATGGGTGCGGTTTGCCTCCCGTCATATCTGCCCCTCCCGCCCCCGGGAAACGTCGCTCCTTTTAGTAAAGTGGAGCACACATCGAGGATAACAGTGTCGCTCAAAACGACGACAGTTTTGACATTGTCTCTCACAAAGGCCCCGGAAAGGCCGCCACAAAGCAACTCGCAAACCGCACCCGGGCGTAACCGCACCGATTGTAGTCGCCGACAGTATAGCAAGGATGCGCGGTAAGGATGCAAGGGCCTTGGACGCCCATCTCGAAGCTCTTCGAGCGGGGCGCGGCCAGCGAAAGCGGCGAAGGATGGACCGAGGAGGCAAGGATGCAAGGGTACCCTTGGGGAGGTTGCCCATCCTTACTATGCGGGTTGACTATAGATGTGGCCCGCGCCTTCCCAGAAGGATGGGCGCTTCTAAGACGCCTTCCGCCCTCCCCCTGCCTCCGTCTGCGCGTGGCTGAGGTGGGCGAGCGGGCGCCCTCCAAAGAAGCCCACGGCGTGGGAACTTCGCGGCGTGCGCGCGCAATCTGTGAGCTGGTCTCTGAGGACCCGCGCCTCCAGCTGGATGCTCCAGCCAGAGGCTGGGCAGAGCCCGCCCAGCCTGCAGCTGGAGTAACCTTCACGCGAGTCGCTCCCCCATGGAGAGTTTTACCTGCGGCTCCAGCGGGCGTGGGTGGAGGAGGCGCCGGGAGGAGGAGGAGGAGGAGCAGGATGAGGAGGAGGAGGAGGAGGAGGAGCAGTGTAAACCCAAGGGCCATCAACGATGTTGGAATAAACCCTCCCCCAAAGCTCCCTCTTCACAGGCCCCTACAACGGTTCAGTACCACTAAGGGAACTGCCTCGTTGGAAGACAACCGTTTGAAGACCCTGAAGCATGCCAACCATTGTTCTCGGGATTCCAACGCGCCTTGACGATCCTGACTGCTGCGCCTTGACGGTACAGACTCGTGCCAGAAAACGAAATTCTTGGGACTTCAGCACCGCGAGTCAACGTAACTGTTGCGCCCTCGTGATCCTGAATCCTTCCAAAGCACTATTTCTGGTACGCTGCCCATAGGCATCCGTACAACTCTGGCAAGTGTTCAAACGAAAGTGCGCGGCGCTAAGGCGAGAAGCACAGTTTGAACAGGAGCCGCCCTCAGTCCGTGACCCCCTCGCAGTTTAATGCAAGAAACTCTTGCAAGCGTTTGACACGAATGTGCGCGGAGCAATGCTTTGAAAACGAGCCGCCCTAATTACATCTGTGAAGCTGCTGCCAAGCTCCAACCTTCAGGGTCACAAGTGGTAAGGCAGTCTCAGGCAAAACGCCCAGCCCGCCCTAAACACTGGCCTCGGGGTGCGACGGGGAGAAGTGAGAAGTTCTATATAAGGAGGAGGAATGTAGGACCAGGAGGACGATGAGGATGAGGAGGAGGAGCTAGGTCGTCCAGGGGTGAGGTCTTCTCACCCCTGTGAATATATAGTGAACGCCTGGGCAGACGAGCCGGAGCAGGCCGAGGATGGCCCACTCGACCCTCCGCATCTGCCTCCTCTGCGGGCCCCGTGGTCGGACGTGGCTCTGCCCCACACAAGCGGCGAACGTCTCCGTATCCACGCCATCGCGGCCTGGATGCCGGGGCGAGATCCCGTGGACACGAGGTCGCACGGATACGCTCCGCGCTAGACGAGCGTGCTTCACTACTCGCAAAAGAACTACTCGCAGATGGCCTGGATCCGCCGCGGGGAATCTACGAGAAAACTCATCGAAGCAAACATCGGTTCTTCGGACGTTTGCGAGTAGTGGAATGCGCTTGGTGACGCGCGGGGCATCCGCGAAAAAAAGCCCCGCACCCGCGGGCTCGCGGCCCAGGGGCCCCGGCCGCGGATACGGACAGCGGGGAAACCAACAGGTACCGATACTGGCCATCGCTCGGACGTCCATTTCCTGTGTTTTTTTCGGTTCCGTGCGTGGCTTTTTCGCCGAATGATCGAGGATGCTCCTCGATGGTCCTCGCCGAAAGAAACATGCACACGTCCGAGCGATGCCAAGGGTACCGTTCCTCCGCGGACCCCTCCCCGGGGTGCGTTCGGACCCGGACTGCGAAGCGAATCCAGCGGTGCCCGCGAGGGCCTCCCCGGAGGCCGAAAAAGGGGAGAACACGAGGGGAGGGGAACGTAATACGAGTACCTCCTCCTCCTCCTCCTCCTCCTCTTCCTGCTCCTGCTCCTCCTCCTCCTCCTTCTCCTCCTCCTCCTCCTCCTCCTCCTCCTCCTCTCCTCCTCCTCCTCCTCCTCCTCCTCCTCCTCCTCTCCTCCTCCTCCTCCTCCTCCTCCTCCTCTGAGGCACGCGTTTCGCCCGCGAGGCCCCCCGCCGCAGCCCGCCCCCAGGGAGGAGGGACCGCATGCCGCCGCGGGGGCGCGCGCCGCGGCACGAAACTGACCCGAGCCTGGGCATCCGTGCGCGCGCCCGCTCGCTCGGGCCTCTGTCGGCCTCGGCCCTCGGGCGGGCCGCCCGGGTGCCCAGGTCGGCGCGAGCTCGGGGACGCACGGGCCCGCGCCGATGCAGACCCGGGTCAGCCAAGCCCTGCAGGCTCCTGCAGGACCCCGCAGGATCCTGCAGGATCCCTGCGTGCTAGTCCGGATCGGTGCAGCCTGGGCTCTGAAGAGTCCTGCGAGATGCGGCGCTCTGGCGGACCTCCGCTTGCAGTGGCCCCGTGCTCTTGCAGCTCGAAGCGCGCGCGCTCTCGGAAATCCGGGCCGCGGGGGAGCAGGGGACAGGACCCTCCCTTCCTCACCCCCCTTCCCCCTTGGAGGATGAACCTGTGTATCAATCAACCAATCGAGCCACGAATCACTGACGACGGAGTTCTTGTCAACATAAGCCAGGTGCGGTCGCATGAGCACCGTCTTCGGCTTGCCTCTGGCCAGCACTCGCAGGGCTGACTTACTGCGGATCTCTAGCAGAGCAGGCGATGAATCCCCCTCTGAACGCGCCCACCTCCTCCTCCTCCTCCTCCTCCTCCTCCTCCTCCTCCTCCTCCTCCTCCTCCTGTTCCTGCTCCCAGCCGTTGGGACGCTGTTGAGCTATCGTATCGTCTAAGACTCAAGCGCGAAAAAAACGCCAGGTCGCCTCCTGTGTCTGGAACACGCGCCTGCCGGCATAAAGCTGAAATGCTATGTCCAGACCTGCCCAAGTCGACGCTGCCGCTCCAACGGGGGCCGTGCATTTGGTGTTCCGTGGCACGGCCAGTCTGGATCACATCGATCAAACATCTTCCAAAAGACTCGGGACTGAGGAGGAGGAGGAGGAGGAGGAGGAGGAGGAGGAGGAGCAGGAGGAGGAGGATGAGGAGGAGAAGGAGGAGGAGGATGGACCAAAATCCCAGCCGTCGGGACGAGGGCCGCCGGGCGACTTCGGGGCTCGGCCAGGGTCGGGGGTGGGGGGGGGCGAAAGGGCAGGATAGCAGAGGGCAGGGTAGAGCATCGGCTCCATGTAGCTGGCTTTCCTGTAGGGCGACGAGATCTATGCATATCCACTGCTCCTGGCCAGGCCCATCCTGGGCCTGGCCAGGAGCAGTGGATATGCATAGATCTCGTCGCCCTATCCTGGTGCCTCCTGGCGCCAGGAGGCGCCCATGCGTGGAGGAGTGGGCCCGGCGGCGGGGCGGAAGCCAGTTGCATGCAGCAGGTGTCGTAACCCCTCCGTTCCCTACACGCCGGTCGGAAGAAGTGGGCAGAAACCTGAAGTAGGAAGGCGGATAACGCAGATTGGGTTCGGGCCCGCCCAGCGAATTACACACAACAGCCAAACCAGATCGATGATTGAAGTAGGAGGGCGCTTGAAGCAACTTGGGTTCTGGGAATCCAGCAATTCCTACTTTCGACGACCGATGGGTACACGTCGTTTACTTCTAAATCGTGCTCATTTCCAATGGTGCTCGTTTCTGCTTGCTTCTGGCCCCCTGGTGGCCAGGAAGAGGCCCAGGATAGCACACTTAGAGATGCAAGGATCTTGGCCCCCCCAACAAAAAACAAAGAACCCTTCGCAGAAGTGGAGCTGCACAACTACGCATCCGGCCCTCTCGCCCGGCCCGGACAGGGGGGGCGGCGCCGCGGCCTCGCCGCCGCCGCCGCCGGCCAGGGCGCGCCGCATCTCCGCCGCGGCCGCCGAGGCCTGGCGCAGCGCCTCCTGGCAGGCCGCCCCCGGGCCGTGGCCGTCGAGGCAGGGCCCAAGGGGAGCATAGGAAATGCCCTCCTCCGAGGTATTCATTGGTCCCTGGTCCTCCCTCTCCCTCGGGGTCGGGTTCCCGGGGCCGCCGTCTGAGTGCCCGCACGGCCCTGATGGGCTGCTGCGGCGCGCTCCGCGCCGCGGGCGCAAGACAAGACGCTGCTTAGCGAGAAACGGCAGAAACGGCAGCAAGAGGAAATGCTGGGGGGAGCTCCTGCTGCTGCTGCTGGCGCCGATGCTGAGGATGCTTAAGCTGATGGGCCGAGCTAATTCACCAAACAGTGCCTGCGCTCCGGGATTCCCACTTGTCTCTCTACAGAATTGGTTGGCGTCGGCACCGCATCGGCAAAGGCCGGCTCGACTCGGAGCGTGCCGCCGCGCGGGCTGTCCTCGACGCGCCCCTTGACCAAGAAAAGGCACAGTCCCGATCCCAAAATCGCGGATTCACCGGGGACTCGAGCGTCGGCCAAAGATATTTCGGGGCATGGCCTGCGCTCCCTGGTAAAACCCTGCCCCGAAATCTCCCTCCCCGAAGTCTCGAGGACCCTGCGTCTCGTTTTGGCCCTCGCGTGTGCAGGACTGGGCGTCTATATTGAGCTGGCGACCCCTAGACGGGCGACGACGACCCCGCGGCGGGCCCACGGCAGGCCCACGGGCGAGCCCCGCGCCCGAGGCGGCGTCTGCCCCCCGTGGCCTCAGCGCGCCCTCCCCCGGGACGGGAGGCCGCGCGTCGGCACCAGGCGGCGGGGCGGCGTGAGCAGCGGAGCGGGCTGCGTCGGCACGGGATCGACTGGCCATCGCTCGGACGTCCATTTCCTGTGTTTTTGTTTCGGTTTCGTGCGTGGCTTGTTCGCCAAATGATCGAGGATGCTCCTCGATGGTCCTCGCCGAAGGGAAAATGCACACGTCCGAGCGATGCCAAGTCGAACTCGGATCAGATCGGCTGCGCCAGGATGCACAGCAACGCCGTGCAGGCATCGGGCCGCATGGGGTCGTCGGAATGAATTCGAATCGCATCGGTCGGATCGATGTGGACCACATGCGAGGGGGGGTCGAGAATCGAGGATGGACGTCTGAGGGTGGCGTTCGCCCTGCTCTGTGGTCTCTGGGAAGCGCCTCGTCGCTTCTGTTGGATGTCCACTCGAAATGAAAATCAATCCAAAATACGAATGCGACCAGGACACGTTCAGGCCCAATGTTTGACTCTCGAGCCCAGACGGGAGGCGGCTCCAGTAAATCGAGGCGGCCAGGCGAGTTATTCGGTGGTGTTCGGTGGCCTTCGACTGTTTTCGTGTCTCTGGGGTTTCCCTGCAGAAATTCCTGTCTTATGACGGAGACTCTTCGGGATGATGCCCAATGCTTGGCAAGCTTGCCTCAGGTGTTGTGAGGTCTCCCAGAGGTTCTGGAGTCCTGGAAGTTGCCCGCCGACCAGGCGGCTTGACCGTCAGGAACTCTTGCTCACCGTGTCCGCACGGCGGCGCCGGCGACACGCTGTGCCGTGCAAACAGATGGCGCGTCGTTCCGCTCAACGGGGCGGGAGGCTGGGAACAGATCGACACGTGGGCGCCTGGGGACCGCGAAGTGGATAGCGTGTTGCGCCGTAGCGTGGTAGGCCAGAACCGGCGGAACGACACGTTACATCCTCAAAAGCTTCCGACCGTAAACTATTATCAGGTGTGTTCAGTGATGAATGGTTTTCTGGACTCGATAACCTCGCCTCGCTGCTGGTTGAAACGAGGTCAGATGCTTTCGTAGTGCGGAGCGGGGAGGGAGAAGACATGGAGGGAGACAAGGAGGGAGGGAAGACGAGGGAGTCGGGAAGGGAGGCACAATGGAGGGAGCAGAGAGGAGGCAGGAGGGAGTAATGAGAACGAGGAAGGGGAGGATGGGAAGACTTGGGGATGGACTGTAGACGTGGACGGGAGGGGAGGAGGACGGAGGAAGGAAGGAAGGAAGGAGGAAGAGAGTAAGGGCAGGAAGGAGAAAGGAAGGGGGAGAAGTGGCGAGCGGGCAGGCAGTATCGCTCGCTGTCGTCTGGGTCGTCGCTATCGTCGTCCCCCCCCTCCTCCTTCTCCTCCTCCTCTTCATCGTCCTTTGCCTTCTCTCCACCACCTCACTCCTCCTCATCCTTTCGCCTCCTCCTCTCTTCCTCCCTTATCCCTCCTCTTACTTCCTCCTCCCACACTCCGTCCTTCCCCCCTCCCTCCTTCCCTCCCTCCCTTCCTCCTTCCCTCCATCCCTCCCTCCTTCCCTCCCTCATCCTCTTCCTCCTCCTTCTCCTCTCTTCTCTTGGGACAGCAACAGCAGATTATTTCTTAATGCGCACGAGTATACTGCTCCTTCTGATGACTCCGCCCCATCCTGCTTCTCTCCCCAATCTCTTACACTGCCTCCTATCGCCTTTCCTCCAACATCCCCTCACCTTCCCTCTTCCCCGTCATCCCTAGTTGTTATATCTTCATCCTCCTCCATCTCCTGCATTCCTTTTCGAGGTGAAACAAATAAAACTTCTGCCGACGCTGCTCGAAAGGGCATGCCGGGTGTTTCGCCTGAGACTTTCTCAACAATTATGACCCTGAAGATGACAAAGTTGCAAGGAATTCACGGGTTGAGGGCGGGTGGTTTCAAAATTTGCGTCTCGCCTGAGCGCCGCGCACATTCGCTTTAAAATGTTGCAAGAGTTTCACTGGTTGAGGGCGGGTGGTTTTCAACATGTGGCTCTTCGCGCACATTCCTTCTTGAAAATGCAAGAGCTTCACGGATTGCGGGCGGGTCGTTCTCAAAATGTGGCTCTCGCCTCAACGCCGCACACATTCGTTCTAACAATTTGCAAGAGCTTCACGGGTTGAGGGCGGGTGGTTTTCAAAATGTGGCTCTCGCCTCAGCGCCGCGCACATTCGTTTCAAAGATTTGCAAGAGTTTCAAGGATTGAGGGCGGTTCGATGTCAACATGTGTCTCTCACCTTGGCACTGCGCACATTCATTGTTGAACATTGCATTTCTCATGGTCAACGTAGCAGAAAAGGTGTTTTGCAACAAGTCAGGGTTACGAGGGCGCAACGGTTACGTTGACTCGCGGTGTTGAAGTCCCAAGGATGGCGTTCTGGCACGATTCAGGTTGATGCGTGGCGTTGGAATCCCGAGAACAATGTTCTGCCATGCTTCAGGGTCTTCAAGCGGTTGCCTTCCAACGAAGCAGTTCTCTCAGTGGAAAAGAACCCTTGTAGGGGCCTGCGAACAGGGAGCTCGGAGGGAGGGCTTATGCCAACATCGTTGATGACCCTTGAGTTTACACTGGTCCTCCTCCTCCTCCTCCCTCCTCTCACTCTCGCTTCCTTCCTCCTGCCCCTCCTCGTTCTCTCCTCCTGCGCCCTATCCCACTTTCCTGTTTCTCTCCCACTCCATCCCACCCTCTGTGTTTCGTCCGTAACCCCCATCCCTCTTGCTGCATTCTCTCTTCTTCACTCTCCTTCACCTCTCTCGCCATATCTCTTCCTCTTCCTCCTCATCCTCCTCCTCCTCCTCCCAGAAGATCTCATGTTCTTTATTAGCCCCCCCCCGCCTTTTTCCAATCGTATGCATCCTGGCTTCTCATACATCCGGATTCCTCAATCGTCATCCTCGTCATCGACCTTCATCCTTGCTCCCCTCCCCAATCTGCTCATCCCAACTGCACTATGCTACTGCCATTTCATTCTCATTTTCCTCATCATCATTGTCGTCGTCATCGTCCTCGTCCTCGTCCTCGTCCTCGTCTTTCTCGTCATCAAAATCACAATGACCAGCAGCATAGTACTCATCATCAGCATCATGAGTTGCAACAACATCCTCATCATCAGCAGCAACAGCGTCAGCATCATCATCACCATCAGCATCATCAGCAGCATCATCAACATCAACATCACTTCTATCATCGACTATGTGTTCCTGCTTATCGTCTTCCCCTTGCTCCTCCACCCTCCTCTTCGATTCAGCTCCAGTCCTGATCCTTTCTCCTCACCCTCCTGACCACCATCGTGTTCATCACGCTCGGCTTCGTCCTCATCCTCCTCGTCCTCCTCCATCGCCTCTATCCTCCTCTCCTCTTTTTTTTTCTCTCTCATCTCCTCTATCCTCCTCCTCTCCTCTCTTTTTCTATCCTCCTCTCATCTCCTCTATCCTCCTCCTCTCCTCTCCTCTATCCTCCTCCTCCTCTCCTCTCTTTCTCTCTCTCTCTCTCGGGGCTTGAGGCGGGGAGCAGGCCGCAGCCGCGGCCTGCGGGTGGAGGCACGCGAGCTGCAAGCTTTTAGAGGGCAGGCTCGGCTGCTGGCACGTGGACAGCGTGCCGCGCCGAAGCGCGGTGGGCGAGAATCGGCGGTGCGACACGCTAACCAGAAGCTGTCGACCGTACACGGATGACCCGTTCGTGGAAAAACACACACAAAAAAAAGCATACGTGCTTTTTTGTGTTTGTTTTGGGTGTGTTGTTGTTTGTTTCCCGCGTAAGCGTTTTTTTCCCCCCACAGTGTTTGTGTTGTGTGTGTGTGTGTGTGTTTTTTTTCCCACGGTGTTTTTTTTTGTTCTCCCACTTGTGTGTGTGTTGTTCTGCCGCAGTGTGTGTTTTTTTCCCACGAAAGGCCCGCCCTGGGGACATGGGAAGACAGATCCGGGGGCCCGCGCACCAGCAACTTCGAAGCGCCGGATGTCTGGGCCCCGTCCCCGTGCTCTGCCTCCTTCCCCCCCCCCCTCCTCAATATTTCCCGCCCCCTTACATTACCCCTTCCTCCTTCTGCCTCCTCCTCCTCCTCCTCCTCCTCCTCCTCCTCCTCCTCCTCCTCCTCCTCACCCTTCTCAATTCACCGTCCTCACTCCCCCTCCTCCTCCTCCGCCTCCTCCTCCTGCTCCTCCTCCTCTTCCTCCTCCTCCCTCCCAAGCACCTCGCTCTGCTGCTCGCGCTCCTCTTCATAGTTGGGAGGAGGGGCAGCGATGTCTCGTTCTTACTTCGGCAACCCCTATGGGAGGATGGCACTCGCGTCTCACACTGGCGTCCCCTTGGGAGACTTATCATCATTGTGGTTGGCCACGATCTCGTTCAAGAATGGAGCAGGCTCCATGCCTTTGTCCACTTTCCATCCCATCAACGGAACACTTGGATCATTATCCTTGCAGATGTAAAGAGTCGCGCGTTTGACACCGAACAGGGAAGAGTCATAGTACGCCCGCCACGCCCGCCTTGACTCGCTCCATTCGATCCTTGCCATGGGGTCCCCGATCTTTGTGTACCGCGGGCGGCCGCTGTGTGCGCCTTGCACCATCCACTCTCCCCGCAACCGGTAGTCGCCGACGTTGTCGATACTGAAGACCGCTGTGGCAGTGGCGACGCCACACTTTGGCCAGACGAATGCGTTGGCGAGCTGGGACCCGACGAGAATGACCGAGTGGGCGTTGGCCATGAACGCGTTGGCTATGACGCCAAGGTTCAGGCCGAACTTCCACTCACCATTGATCAGGCCCATGAACATCTTGAGGACGTTGTGGAACTTGTCCTTCATCTGGAACATGTCGCCCATCACTTCCAAACCAATTTCCGCGGAGAACTGCAAGATTGCGAGCGCCACGCCGAGCTTCTTGTTGCTGGCCTGCATGCCCCGCCAAGTCCTCGCCACAAGCTTGATGATCTTCGCGAGCAGCGTCACGGTGAACTCCACCAAGCTGATCAACGAATCCACGAGCACATGGATCTGGGGGTGCCCGGTCACCATGGCGGCCACCTGGCTCACGGCACTCATGATCGCCGCGACCTGCTTCCCCGCGACCCTCGCGCAGTTCCCCGCCGTGTTCGCGCACCCAAACCCGCACGAGACCGGGTGGTGCGACTCCTGCAGGGGTGACGCTGGCAATGCAACGCCGCGAGAGTGTGCACTGAGGGGGGGATCAGGCGACGGAGGAGCAGCAAGAGGGAAGGGGGTCGTCACGGTGAAAGGCTAGGAGAAATACCAATCGGCTTAAACAGAGACTGTCGGAGGTCCGCGCTGACTCCTTGGATGGGAGCGTGCCAGTCGGGGCGCCGGAGCGCTCCGCCAGGGGGGCCAGCGCCGATACAGGAAGTCCACGCGGACATCCCTATTTTTGTGCCTGTGCTGCTGTTTCTTCGTATTCCTCTTCATCGTTCTTCGATATTCCTCTTCTTCTTCGTTCTCGAGGGTCGGCCGCGTGCTGGGGGCCGCAGTTCGCGAAGATGGGGGCACAGACGAGCTGGTCCAGCACGAGACCCTGGCGAGGGGGTTGTGTACCAAGCTGGCACCACCTGGGGACGCGAGTCTTGCACGACACCCCGACGAGCAAGCTGGTCCAGCACACGGTACGCGCGCGGGGGGGGCGGCGGCGGCCAGGCATCGCCCCCCGAGAAGGGGAGCGGAGAGGGGCCGCGACGGCCACGACTTTGGACGCCCGACATGGGCACTGAAAGAATGGGTACAATGCCCAACAACAAGTGTTGTCCCAAACGAACAGCGGCCGCTGTTGGGCAGGCGGCCTTCTGTCTCAAATGTACACAGGCCGCGGCGGCGCGGACAGCGAGTCCTGTTCAAAATGAACAAGATCCGCTGTTGGGCGCCCACGCGCGGGGGGCACAAGCGGAAGCTATAGCTGTTCACAAGAGGGCAGAGACTCGGTATCGCTCGGACGTCCATTTCCCGTGCATTTTTCGGCTTCGTGCGTTTTTCTTGTTGCTCGATGGTCCAGGATGGTCCTCGATGGTCCACGCCGAGAAAGAAATGCCCACGTCCGAGCGATGCCAGGGCAAGTCCTCCCCCAGAATGACCACCCCGACAAGCGAGGCCGTTTGCGAAACGCGCCCACTGAGGGAACCGAACAGGGCAGGGATGTTCAGTAAACGCCCAAGGCCGCTTCGTAAACGCCAGTTGTCCGGTCTGGATGGTTTTTCCTCCCTTGATTAAAGGGGGGCGACCCCATTGCACATGCAGGGAAACAGGGGGCGCGACCCCCCATCAAGGGGCTCGGGGCAGGGGGGCTTCAAGGTGGCACGCCTGGCCTGCTGCTGCCGACTCTGCTGCTGCTTTGACCCAGACGCGGGAAGTGGGGGGGGGCACCCATGTGTGCGGAAAGCCGACTCGTGCGAGCTGGCCCGAAAGCGCTCCACGGCACATCAACAGCTGAAGCTGGACCAAAAGCTGCCCAAGCGCACAGACAAGTTCAAAAAGAGGCCACCGTGCAATGTTTGGTGGACGCCGCATCGTTGAGCCGTGCTGCAGCCCCCCCCCTCTGAGCAAGGCCCCTCCTGAGCACACAAACACACACACACACACACACACACACCCCAGCAGGGGAGGGAGGCGGAGGGCTGAGGGATGGGACGACAGCCGCGCCGCGCTCCGCGGACGTGACAGGCGCGCGGTCGCTGAACAAGCGGCCCCGAGGAGGAGGAGGAAGAGGAGGAGGAGGAGGAGGAGGAGGTCAACAAAGACATCTGCGTCTGCGGGGGGATTAACCCCCTCCCCCCAGGTCCCTGAAATTCACGCTGCACATGGGTCGAAGCTTCTGAGATAGAAGAGGGCGCTGCGGTGTAAGTCTCCCCCTCCTGGTCATTGCAAATGACAGGTCGGTGCTGCCGAGGGGTGGGAACTTCAAAGGAGGAGGGCGACATTCCATGACCGCTGCAGCTGGTGATGCACACAAGTGGGAATTTCGGACGCAAGGAGAATGAGGGCATTTACGTATGCTGTGAAAGTCCCTCCTGACCCTTGCAGCCAGTCCAGCGTAGGGGTGGAAACTCCTGATAAAAGAGGGCGACTTTCACGTCTGCGGGGTCAATCCCCTCCTGATCCTTGCAGGCGGTGCTGCGCACGGGTCGCAACCCATGACGGATAGGAACTTCCGAGGAGGAGGAAGAGAAAAATATTATACGTATACTGCAGATTCCGGCCTTAACGACGTGGGCCCTGGTTTCTGACACCGCGCGATTCGTTCAATCTCGAACTAACTCCGCGATCGAAGGTCCCCAGAGGCTCTCGATCACATCTTTCGCGTGCAAGTCTTCATGTTGTTGACTGCGGGATGCGGTGGGGCGGGGTTTGGAGAGAAGAGGGGAGGGGGGGGGGCAAACCCGACACCAGCCCCCACGTGGAGCACCCGCGCCAACGTCGCCGCCAGATGGAGGCGGCGCGAGCCTACCGTATTTCGGCAGTCTGCCGCTGATCCTTGCAATCGGTGCTGCACACGGGCCGAAACTTGCCAGTCACGATCGCCGGGCTGAAGCCATACGGGCACTCGCCTGTAGGGGCCAACTTCACGCCGCGGGTACATCCACTGCCAGCCCCGTCACGATTGCTCCTCACCCCTCACGGGGAAGCAGGGACCAGGCAGGAGGGGGCAAAGAACGGATGCGGGAAGACGGGGGGCCGGGGTAGGGCAGATGAAAGGGGGGAGGGGGAAGAGGTATGAGGAACAAGGGAGGGGTCTCCGTTCGCAAAGTCGGTCGTCGAGACTGAACTTGGTCCTAGAAGACAACCTGACCGAGAAGGACCGCAGGCCCTGGGAGTCAAGCAGGTGCAAGGCTGCGGCCAACGCCGCGTCGAGAACGTCAGGCGACTGGGAGCCAACCAGGGTCAATGCGGGCACCCCCCCACCATCCATTGTAAAAACAATACAATGCACACTCTGCCTCCAAATTCGGAACATGCGCAGCGAACCCGATGCGGCCCGGGCGGGGGCAGCGGCTGCGGCGGCTGCGGCGGTGGCGGCGGCGACGGTGGCGGCGGCGGCGGGGGCGGCGGCGGCGGCGGCGGTGGCGGGGGCGGCGGCGGCAGCGGTGGCGGCAGCGGCTGCGGCGGCAGCGGCTGCGGCGGCGGCGATTCGGCAGCGGGGGCGGCGGCGGCGGGCGGCGCGGCGGCGGCGGCGGCGGACAGCGGCGGCGGCGGCGGTGGCGCGGCGGCGGATTCGCCACCACTAGCTGCCCATCCAAAGACGACTGCTGAGTATGCCGTGGCTCGGCCCAGGCTCGGGTGCTACGTATGTGTTGGGAGGGCGGGTGGGAGTGAACGAGACGGCTTGCGGGCGGGGAGGGGGTCTTGACCCCTTCCCCTTACCCCCTCCCCTGGACCTGGACGGGCGTCTCGCGGGTCGTTGGAGCGTCCAGAACGGCGTCGGCGAGGAAGCCAAAAGCATAGGCTTCACTAGGGTTTTGGGACATGTTTGCCTTTTGGGGACTCCCGAGGGGCAATGCGAATTTCGACCCTCCTCTTCTTTGATCGATCTCCGCCAAAATGGCTCCAAAAGGCGCCCAGGAGGCCCCAATAGGCTCCAAGATGGCCCCGAGATGGCTCCAAGCGGCCCGAAGAGGCCCCCCGAGACACCAACGACGCCCAAGCGCTTTCCAGGCGCTGAAGAAAAAACACCCAAAACGTCCCAATAGGCCTCCAATGAACGCCCAAGAGACATCCCAAGAGGCTCCGAGATGCAGACACGAGACCTCTAGCCCTTTTGGTTGCCCTTCTCCTCCTGTTCTTCCTTCCTCCTCCTACTGTTTCGATTGTTATACCTCCTCCTCCTCCTCCTCCTCCTCATCATCATCATCACCATCACCATCACCATCACCATCATCATCATCATCATCATCATCATCATCATCATCATCATCAGCATCATCATCATCACCATCATCATCATCATCATCATCATCATCATCATCATCATCATAATCATCATCATCATCATCATCATCATCATCATCATCATCATCATCATCATCGTCATCATCATCATCATCATCATAATCCTTCCCCCTAGTCCCTCATCATTCCATCCAGCCTGCTCCTTTTCCTCTTCCCTCCTTCGCACGATTCGGCCGTCCACCTGTTTGCTTCTGCGCTTCCCTGATCACCTCAACTCGCCTGGGCATCGTTTCTGGATGGGCTGGTGGGGGTATGTGTTGGTTGGCGGGCGCGAGAAACACGTCGAACGCCGAGCGTGCTACGGCGAACCGTGCCGGGAACTCGCCTAACGGGGATGTTTTTTTAGTCAGCGGCCGCGGGCGAGCGCGCCAGCGGCGGGTCAGGCCAAAGCGGGCTACGCAGAGACTAATTAAGTAAAGGCAGCGCGAACAGGCTGCGACGAACGCAGCAAGCCGAGGCCTCACGCGGCGGCCCAGCGGCGGGTGGGTGGCAGGGGAGACTGAAACTGAGTCGAACTGCCAGCGCGCAAATATGCAGAGCGTCGGAAACACCAGGAAGTTGGAATAGCCGACGACCAAGGTCAACTCCGTAAATTAAAGCATGAGACCGAACCCCGGGCAACGCCTAGTGGGGATTCGCGAAACGTCCGGAATTCTCAAACGCGGCACGCGCTGAAGCGGGAACGCAGCGTTTCCTGATGTCGGACTACGGCCAACGATCTGGCGATAGCGCCGTTCCGTCGGACGTGGTGCTTATAGAGATCATATGTGGCAGACGCTGCGCCGGGAACGCTATGGCCAATGATACACGCATGCGGCCGCCGCTGCAACGACGGCGTGAGGGAATACTGATGGCAGTTCGCACATGTTGCAGCGTTCGCAGCGGGGACCGCACTTTCACTCATGCAAAAGCACGGTGGCCGCTACTTTGGAGAGTCATTCCAGTGGACGGAGGCTCCTGGGATATCGTGGTATACGCAAGATGCCGCAGGTGCGGCTAACAGTGGCCGGGAGGGGAGGCAGCGCATCCGTCGAGCGCGCTGCTCAACTTGCCTGCCTGGCGTGGCCACGCAGCGCGCCCGCAACATGCGCGCCCGCACGGCGGACAGCCAGGCATCCCTGTGGACGCAGGTTGACGACCACCTGCTGTGGTTCCGTTCGGTGGAGGAGGGCAACGGAGAAGGTCGCGAGCCCTTGTCCCATGCGCCGCGGAGGCAGCGGCGCGGTACCTGGCACCAATACCGGAGCCGAGACGTCGGCGGTAGATATGGATAATCATGGTGATACGGGCGGACTTCACACACACAATCCCCATGTTGCTGCGACGCCCTGGTCTGAAACAGGGAGGAAGAGCAGGCAAAGAAGGGAGGAGGGGCGGAACTGGAGGGGGGATTTTGGGAGGGACGGGCAAGAGAAAAAAACGCAGCGGACACGTGCGATGAGAAACCATGCAACAAGAGATCTTTGGGACTGTCCTCGACGGTCTCTGAAGGCCCGAAGGCGCCCCAGAGATTCCGCGTGCCCCTGGGGCCATCAACGGACAAGGGAACTTAGATGAAAAACGCGCGGCATAAACATACTTACTCTTTTGACGGTCCGTGGAGATTTCATGGATCTGCGCTGGGCCCCCTCCCTGGCACGTGGAGCGCCTTCACTGACCAACATGCAAATACTTGTCATCCAATGTTTCCCCATGCGCAGGGTCACGCGGCCCGCTACCAACCGTGCGGCTTGCCCTGCACGGCATGTGCTTCGCCTAGATGGCCGCGACCCAACTCCGTCGCGCATCAGCGACAGCGCGCCGCCGACGACCCAGAACACGAAGCCCGACGGTGTCTCACCGCACGCTCGCTTCAGGAAGACGCGACTTCGACGCGGCCGAACAGGCGGGGGAACGCATTGCGAATGATGCGCTGTTCGAGTTATGGGACTTTCGAGGTCACGTGGCCACTGCCGTCGGGGACGTCGGGGACTCCTTTAACTTATCAGACCGTGGAGCGCGATGGGCGTTCGAGCACCTCGGGGCCGCGCGCGATGTCAACCGTGGACAGGCGCGAGCAGGGCCGGCGTCAGATTTCTGCCGCGCCACGGGGACGCAGCGCACCATTACTCTTCACGCGGAGACATGCACCGACGACGCGGCCGTCAGCATCGTGAACTTCTGGTGCGCCAGAATGAGTCCGCCGTTGGCTTTGCAGCGACGGTGCGGCCATAGACTGGGCCGAAGAGTCCTGGTCATTCGTGGAACCCACGGAGATAGCTACAATGGCGGCTGGAGGCTCTGCCGTCGTTCGCAACCGCACCGAGAGGGGGCGCGGCGCGCGGTGCCCATGTGACCTGGAGCAGAGGATGAAAACGATGCCCTACGCTTCCGAAGCGCACAAGCAGCCTCTGGGGGCCTCCAGGGGCCCCCGGGCCCCCAGAGGCATCCGAAAACCGCGCACTTTCGACGGCGACGGCGGCGGCGGCGTCGGCGGCGACATCCGGAAGCCTCCGTGGAACTCCGCGGCCAAATGTGGGTCGCCGCAAGCTTCTCGGAAGCTCCCGGCGGCACCGCCTCGGATGCGGCCACGAGCCACGCTCGGCTATACCCAGGCGGACGGGCCTGCGGGGCTCCCAGGACGCCCTCGCGGCGCAGGACAGAGCGCAGGCTCCGCGCCCATCCCGTATGCTCGGCGATGTGCTGGTGCCTGCGGAAGGCCCCCTGGGGTCGCGGGACGCTTCAGGAGGCCTGAGGGGTGGTTAGCCCGGGCTCCGGTTCGGTGCTGCGGGGCGCTAGGAGGTCTGGGGCGTTCCTGGGAGCTCTGGCGGGCTGTCCGAACCTTGACGGCCACATGGGGACTGCTCGGAGGCCCTCGGAATTCCCGTGACGGTCTGGGCGGGCCTCGAAGGGCCTGGGAGGTACAGGGCAGCTTTTAATACATAGGATTTCTTGCAATAAATAGGATTTGAATACATGGTGAATATATGATTAAATTCATGCATGAACTCATCGTTGTTCTTAATACTGAATCCCTGCCTTTTTAAGACATGATCCGCACGCGGAGCATGTATAAAAAACTGCACTGTAGCCTGTCGAAGGCTCCAAGGGGTCTGGCGGCAGGGCCTCGGGGAGCCTCGAGGGACCTGGGAGGCCAATTCCTTAATTCCAGATCTGGGCGGGTCTCGAGGGGCCTGGGAGGCTGCGGGCGACCCGGAGGTAGCCTGTCGGAGGCTCCAAGGGGTCTGGCGGCAGGGCCTCGGGGAGCCTCGAGGGACCTGGGAGGCCAATTCCTTAATTCCAGATCTGGGCGGGTCTCGAGGGGCCTGGGAGGCTGCGGGCGACCCGGAGGTAGCCTGTCGGAGGCTCCAAGGGGTCTGGCGGCAGGGCCTCGGGGAGCCTCGAGGGACCTGGGAGGCCAATTCCTTAATTCCAGATCTGGGCGGGTCTCGAGGGGCCTGGGAGGCTGCGGGCGACCCGGAGGTAGCCTGTCGGAGGCTCCCAAGGGTCTGGCGGCAGGGCGTGCTCGCCACGGGGTGCCGGAGGGGTGCCGCAGCGAGCCCTCCTGCGGGGGGGCGGCCGCCAGAGGACGCCCGCGGGTCCCCCCGAAGCCTCCCTGAGA